CCTTTTTTATTTTAAATTGGATTATTTGTTCTTTGCTTTCCCCTTTTCTGAGTTACTATATTGGACGTGGTGGAATCTTTCCTATCTCTGCTTTGTTCTATTTCTCTGGTGAAATTGACTCTTTCCCATGTGCTACCCTTTTCTCCCCTGTGTGCAGAGTACAGTGTCAGCTTCACATTCAGGCCTTTGTGCTTGTTTTGAAATGCCCCCATTTCTCCATCAGTTTTCAAAGATAGCTTTGCTAGATCCAGTACTCTCGGGTGGCAGGCATTTTCCTTCACAGCTAGAAATACATCATTCCATGCGGTCCAGCTTTTAGGGTTGCTGATGAGAGCTGATATTGTCGTGATGCTTGCCACTATAGATGCACTGGTGGGTTTTCCTGTCCATTTTATTCTCCTGCTTTGTTCTCTATTTTCACTATAAGATGTTGTGGACATGTTCTTCTCAGACATGTCTATTGCCTTTTTAAATGGCTATCGTGTTTGGGTGTGTATTTCTTTCTTAGACTTTTGAAGGTTTTTGTTATGATTTCACCCAACAGCTTCTCCGTACTTATAGTGTTTGGGGTTTCTGTTTGCTTGTTTTTATCTTTTGTTTATCCTGTACGTTCTGAGGTCTGCTCTCTGAGTTGGATCCCAGGGTTGTTGGACATTTTGGTTGTACTCCCATTTTCCCTTTGATATTTGAATATAGTATTTCACCAACCTTGTCCTCCATCCCTGATATTCTTCTGCTTGGTTGTGTCCACCGGTGATGCTTCCCACTGCGTTTTAACTTAAGTCATTGAGTTTTTCAACTCCATCATGTCATACCCTCCCTACCCCCACCTCAGTTTCTTTGCTGACTTTTCCCACTCATTTTATAGACTTTTTCCTCTACACTGCTGACTTTACTCTCCAAATACTGAATTGAATTATCTGCTTGTTTGGGTCTGATTTCAGAAAGATAACTGGTCATTTTTACAAGGAAATCTTGTAGTCTTCACCTGAGATTTCATATTTAAGTATTTCTTCTAGTTCAGTTATTGTTCAGTTCTGACCTATGGGGGGTGTATTGTACTGTCTAACTTCTTCATTTTTTATGTGTGTTTCTGTGTTACAATTTGTGGGTCTGTTGGTTTAGATAGCTCTTCTGATTTTATGTAGGTATCTTTTTATTGAGCAGCCTACTCATGATAATCCATCTGCACTACTACTCAGTGAGGAGAAAATTAATTGATGCAACACAATGTCATCAAACTGTTCAAGATACAGACATGCACTTAAAATCAGTTAAAGCCCCTAATAAGGCAAACTACTATAGATGGTGCTATCAAGTTCAAAATCATTTAAGTGTGGAAACAATAAATAAATGAGATAAAAGGAAATAGGGGAAAGGAAGAGAAGCAAGATGGAGAAGAATGGATGGATGGTGTGGGAGAGCAAAGGATTAAAAAATTAAAAAATGTTTTTCAACCAGGCATTGGTGGCACACACCTTTAATCCCAGCATTCAGGAGGCAGAGGCAGGTGGATCTTTGTAAGTTTGAGAGAGAGTTCCGCTACAGAGAGTTTCAGGACAGGCTCCAAAGCAATACAGATAAACCTTGTCTCAAAAAATTAATTAACTAATTAATTTAAAAAATTTTTCAATAAAAAGTTCAAAATATAAGATAGGAATGAATACATAAATATCAGGGTGCTAAAGAATCAGTAAGATAAAATAAAAATATTACTAAATGTAGAGTGGTAGATGAGGAAACACTAGACGAGAGAGAGAGAGAGGGCTGAAAAAATACAAGTAAAATACTGCTGGAAATGCAGCAAAAGAGTAACAGTGGGAGGGGGACCAGGAATGCTGGCACCACCTTTAATGCTAGCACTTGGTAGGCGAAGGCAGGCAAATGTCTATGAATTCAAGGCCAGCCTGGGCTATATAGTGAGTACCAGACCAGCCAAAGGTACATAGATAGACCTGTTTCAGAAAACTAATAACAAAAACTTTCAGAGAGAAAAGGATGTGGTATTAGACTAGCTTTCTGTGTCTTTAAAGCTTGGAGATTGCCAATTACACAGGTGCTGGCTGGGGCCAGTTGACTTCTGGATTCTGTTCACATGTCTTTTCTATAGTCTACACTGTTGTTATATACTGAACAAGTAACTGCCATTCACCAGAACTGTCTTCACCTTGGTAGTTTCTTTGTATACCAGGGGCCTCTGCTGGAAACATTTAGTCTTGCTGTCTGTGGGCTAGGCAGGCTCTGTGGTTCTCCCAAGGCTCTCCAGATAATGATGATTCCTGGGATGGCCAATGGTTTAACTGGCAAGTGTCTCCCAAGTGCAATGGGGCTATGGGAAGCAGCAACAACATGGAGATTAGTACAGACAGATGCTGTCTTCTTATATTCAAGACTTCCTAAGTACCAATCACCTACATTATGGATGCAGCTGTGGGTACCAAGTTCATGCCTGGAACTTCAGCTCTTGGGCTCTACAGCAGTGAACAACAGGTAAGATGTTCCAGATGTTATTCTACCACTGGCCTCAGGCTCAGAGTCAAAACCAGGGCTGTCTTCATCCTCAGGTAATAATGTCTGCTCCTAGCCGAGGGAGGGGCTATCTTCCTATGCCCTCACCTTTCCGAGCTAAGTCTCTTGCAGTCTACAGCCTTTGACCTTTGAGCACCTATCCCTCCTGTTCTCCAAAGCTGTTTCCCTTTACTCTCCCTGAGGCTGGGAGCAAGCCAAATTCAGGCTACTTGACTTGCTGTTAGTTCTAAGTTCAGCCTCAGGTCCTAAGGTTAATTCCGATTTTAGCAGTAGATTCTCTCTGGGTGGTGTTTGGCCAGTCTCCCCTCTCAGGTAGGGTGACAAAATGAGATTTCTTCCCACTGCTGACTTGTTGGTTGGAGAGACAACTCACCAAAACTCAACTGATTTTGACTTATTGGAGTTTCTTGTTCCTAGTATTTCTGTTTTGACCCCCCCCCTCAGAATTTTCTTTGCTTAAGTTTTCTTCCAGGTCGTTAAGTTTCTCACCTGTGTTGCTGACTTCTATATATAGGTCCTGAATGGACTTTCCTCCTTCATTCATCTGTTTAAGTCCCCTTTGAAGTAACTGATCATTTTTAAAAATAAAATTTAAAAAAGTTTCTTGTTCAGCATTTCATCAAACATCACTGGTTGCAGTTACTGGGGAGTTACGAGCTTGCTTTTATATTTTCTTTTTGTGTGTTCTACACTGTAATTTGTGCATCTGTTATAATGGGTCTGTATTTCTATTTCCCCTACTCTTTTGCAATTGTTTTGTATTATATTTTCTTAGTAGCGGTCTTCTCTTGGACTGATGGTTCCTGCTCATAGAAGAGAGGAAGCAGTCAGTCTTGGTTAAAACAATGAAATGCAATAAAAAACAAACTGGGTACTTGACTTACAGCCAGACTCTAATAGGATAAACCGGGATTTTTAAAGATTATTAAAGTTAATGGCATTTTTAATGAAGAAATGAAAAGAATGAAGAATGTAGGGATGGTTAAGATTACTTGTTACACTTTTAGAAGACCTGGGTTCAATTCCCAGCACTCACATTAGCAGCTCATAACCTTCTGGAACTCACATTCCTGATGATCTGACGCCCTCCTCTGGCCTCTGTGCAAAATGCATGCACATGAGGCACAGATAAACATGCATGCCTTAAAATTTTACATACATATAGATGTAATTTTAGAGAGAATGAGGTAGGGTAAAAGAAAGAGGCAAACTGTGAATGAGAGGAAAGCATATGTAATGAAGGCTTAAGAAATGGCAAGAAGGGTTGGAGAGATGGCTCAGTGGTTAAGAGAAGTGGCTAGTTTTCCAGAGGACCTGAGTTCAATTCCCAGCCATGGCTTGCAACCATTTATAATGGGATCTGATGCCCTCTTCTGGCATGCAGGTGTATTTGCAGGTAGTGTACCATGTATATAAAAGAAATAAATCTAAAAAAAATTATAAAAGAAATAGCAAGAAAGAACTCATCAAAACCAAAACCACGCTAGCAAAAAAAGAATTTAAAATTATTTTTATAAAAGTATAATACTGGTCAATATTTCTTTCCTTTCTGAGATGACTGTGGGTTCCCTGGCTCCTAGGTTTTACTGGACAGTAGTGAGTGTCACTCCTCTGCCTTCTGGGTCCCTGTTTCTTTGTATATTTCTGGAAATATTTAGGAAAACGTAAAACACATGCCTACTAAGTTCAAAACCTGGGCTTCTTCTGGGGTGTGTGCTTTTTTTTCCTTGTAGGTTATATTTTATATTTCTTTGCAATTTATTATTTTATCTATTTTTTCTGGAATAGGCTATGTTTCATATATATATATATCTTGTAACTTTTTGTTCAAAATTAGGTACTTTAACTCTAGGAATCAGTTCTCCCCTCCTTCAAGAGCTGTTGTTGACTGTGGAAGGATGTATTTATTGACTGTTGAAAGTAATTCTACAAAGACCATTCCTATTTTCAATTAACTTTGTAGTCAAGATTTCCTGAAATACCAAACACACCTTTTAAAAAAAATTCCTCCCTCTCTAAGCAGTCCCTTATTTGCTGTAAGTTTTGGGTTATATTCTAGAATCTAAACTAGTTGAACACATCAGGGATTGACTGTTTCATTTCATTTCAGTGGAAAGATCAATTATTTTAGCATTTTTCTGACATACATTTTATTTCCTATCTGGTTTGTTTCTATTTATTCTTTAAATTGTTATTTTTATTTTCTGAGACTTGGAAAAATAAAAACATGTAATAATAAATGTAATATCATTTTCTTTTAATGCGAATCATTTGCTACTTAGCAGTCTATTTATACAATGCTTCAGCCAGGCATGTATATTACAACCCATAATTATACTGGTTAAATTATTTTAATATAACACAGAGCCAAATGTTAACAATTTCATTTATTACCATCAATAATGCTGTTTTTAAATTATATTGATATTTAATTGTTTTTCTATCAACTCTCTCTGTCCATTTTATTTTAGGAAAAACAAAAGAAGGAAAAATTTCCTCATTTTTCAAGTAAGTTATTGTTTATAAGTTATCAAAATTTTCAAATATTGGGTCATTGAAGTTTGAAACACTAACTCATAAAATAATTATTATCATAATTTTTTTCAAAATGTAAATCATACTATTTTCACTATAAAAAACAGTCTCAGAGTAACCATGGGAAACTTAAAATACAGAAGCTTAAAAGCAGGAGTCCTGGATAGTTTTCATTGAACATATGTTCCATTAGACTTAGGAAGTCACTTACTACATTTATCTGTTCCTAAAGTTTTTGTCTACCTTATAGATCTTCCTATGAAGACACTTTCCTACTTCACAAGGCTCCTTTTCTTCTCAGTGATATCATTATGTAGACACAGTTAACATATCTGTAAACCAAAAGGCAATAACAAAAATATTTGACAAGCAATCCAGAATAAACACAGAAAAGTAAGATCTTACAAACTGGTGAATCAGTGTTCCAGAGCCCGCACCTCCCCCCACCCCCGGGGAAGGAAATGGGGGATTCCCAAGAAATCAAGGTAGTCACCAAAGTGTATATTAAAGTGGTCCCTTCTAACAACTGGAACAGTCAGAGTTGCAAAGACTACACATTTCTTCAGAAGAGGCAATAGTAATTAATCAAAATGAAGATAAATTAACACGGTATCTGTAGTTCATGCTACAGACAGATGAGCAAGTAATTAGATTTCTTTGTACATTTGTGGGGTGCGAAAAATAGCATTCATTTAAGGACTTGTGAAGAAAAAAAAAACAAGTCAAAAAGAAGCTGTCAAAATTAGGGTTTTAATTGCTGTGATAAAACATCATGACCATAAAAAAAACTTGGGAAGGAAAGGGCTTAATTCATTCTATAGTTTGTAGTTTGTCATCCAAGGAAGTCAGGAGAGCAACCGTGGTGGATGCCATGGAGGAGTGCTGCTTACTGGCATGCTCCTCATGGCTTGCTCAGCCCTCTCTCACCTAGAACCACCAGCCCAGGGGTAAGCTGGGCTCTCCCACATCAATCAAGAAAATGCACCACAGACTTGCCCACATACCAATCTGATGGGGGCAGCTTTTTTCAATTGATATTTCCTCTTCCAAAATGGCTCTAGCTTGTGTCAAGTTCACAAAACACCAGCCAGCACACAGGTGTATTTTTTAGAACAAATACAACAAATGGGAAATTTTGTTTGGCTTAAATTGCAGAATGTGGCAAAATGAAGGCTTTAAACATGATTATAAAAATGTTTCAGCCATGTATGAATTTATACATCTGTTCTATTCAGGAAGCTATTGTGGAATAGGATTATCACTTTCAGAAACTTGTATTTTAAATTATGGGAAAATATTAAAATATTAAATATTTAAAGGTACAATTAAAGTGCTACTTATTCTAGAAAACAAATGACTGTTTGAAAACTGGTTCAGAAGTAATAAGACATCTCAGGAGATGAGGCTATTCGGTTTCCTGTAACATGATACTGCTATGACTTGAATGTATCTCCCCAAAACCATGTATTTAATCCTCAGAGCAACAGTGTAAGGAGATGGGACCTAATGAGGGTGACACGCTGTAAGGGTGAACTGAGGTGAATGCTGCTACCATGAAAGTGGGCTTTTTGAGGGCATCTGTGAACTATTAAAAGGGTAACTTAATTCCCTTCCTCCTTACTTTTATGCCTTTCTGTTATATGCCATGGGAAGATGTAGAGAGAAGCCTCTCACTAGATGTGGCCCCTGACCATGAACTTCCAAGATTCTAGAATTACAGACTTCTGTTCCTTATCAATTACTCAGTCTTGTATATCTTATTATCATAGTGTAAGATACACGAAGATATAATACAGGTATTGATGAGTGGGCTTTTATTCCACCAAGTACCTGAAAATGTAGAAGCTGCTTTAAAAGGAACAATGAATAGAGAAGAAGAAGGACTTAGAAAGAGTACATAGTCAAGAGGGAAGCAAGATTTGGAACATTTATAGTCTGATCATGTCAAGAATGAAAAGGTGTGTTTGGTGAGCAAAAGAAATGATAATGAGGCTGGAGAGATGGCTCAGCCATTAAAGGCTAGGCTCACAATCAAAAATATAATTATAATGAACAGGAAGTAACTCCCTCTACATCGAGATAATGGGATGAAAACTGCAGAGGCATTCTCGAGAACTTTGAGGCAAGCTAGGGCCTTGACGGCAAGGTTTCCAGAGAGGAATTTGCAGAATCTCAGCATTCACTTCTCTATGCCACCACAAATACCTGCTTCCTCCATGACCACAATGCTCCTCAGGCACTCCAGTCATGACTCAACCATCCTGAGTATGGTCTATGCCACTGCATCAGAAGGTCAAAGTAATACTCTGGTAGAAGCCATTGAATGCTAATTATGCAGGTGCACACATTTGTCAAGATACCTGGGGTGGGAATCCAGATAGAGACTCGTCCCAATGGCAGCAGCACTGCAGAGATCCCGCTTGGGGCAACACACAGTAAAACTAGAAGACCTTGTAGTTGCCAGCATGCAAGATAAGCATGGGAGAACTGCAGGCCTGAACTCAGGAATGCTGATGATGAAGCTGAAGATAGGCCATGGGGTCCCTACCCTCACCCCAGAGTGCCCAGAGAATGGGATATGGAGTCAAAGAAGATCCTTTTGGAGCCATAGTATTTGATGCTATTTCTTCTTGGACAGGAGACTCACGGTCACACTCTTGTGCCACCATTTTGTTTTAAAAGCAGGTATCTTGTTTCACAGCCTAACAGCTAGAGGGATATTTGCCATACAATGAGTCATATCTTAATCTCACCCAAGTCTGTTGTAGATAAGACCTTGGACATTTTTTTTTTGTTTGTTTGGAAAGCTTTGAGGATTTTTTTTTAATTTTATATAACAAAGTCCAATTAAATGAAAACAAACATTTATACACAATATTTGGGAATTTGGGCGTCGTTCTTTCCAAACTACTTCCTGCTGGTAAGGGGCGCTGTCTTGGGGGAATCGAAGAAGATTCAGATATCCTAGCTGTAGTCTGTAGGGCTGTTTTGTCCAGCTGTTTGGAATGTAGGATCAGCTTGTACTCTGTTTCAGGCAAGACCTTGGACTTTTAAGACTTCCGGGTGGATGGCTATCTTAGGGTTTCTGTTGCTGTGAAGAGAACCCATGACCACAGCAACTCTTAACAAAGAAAATATTTAATTATGGTGGCTCACTTACAGTTCAGAGGTTCGGTCCATTATCATCATGGTGGGACATGGTGGTGTGCAGGCAGACATGGAGCTGGACAGGTAGCTGCTACACGTTGATGTGCAAGCAACAGGAAGTAGACTGTCTCACTAGGTGTGGTTTGAGCATATATGAACCCTCAAAGCCCACCTCCACAGTGATACACTTCCTCCAACAAGACCACACCTACTCCAACAAAGCCACACCTCCTGATAGTGCCACCCCCTTTGGGGTCCATTTTCTTTCGAGCCACCACAATGGCCAAAAAAGTTAAGACTCTGGGGCTACTGGATAGAATAAATGTATTTTCCACATGAGAAATGGCTGAATTTTGAGCTGGAGCTGAATGTTATGGCTTTACTGTGCTTCACAGAAAGCATGTGTTGGAAACATTAGTCTTAAGACAGAAGTGTTGGGAGATGTGCCCTAACGAGAGATTATTCTGCCATGAGAATGGGGTGAATAATTTAATACTGTTATTCCATGAGTGGGCTTGTTTCATGGCTTTGTTTCACTACAGCATTTGGCCCATTTTGTGTCTCTTCATTTCTCTCTCTTGCCCTTCTACTTCCTGCCATTAAGTGAGATAGTAAGAAAGTCCTCTCCAGATCCTGGTCCTTTGATCTTGGAAATACCAGCTTCTAAAACTAAGACATTCCTTATCATTTATCCAACCTTGGCTATTTTGTTTTAGTAGCACAAAACTGATGGATACTTCGAAAACCTCTATAGAAGGACTTTTGGAGTAAACTGGCAAAACAGACTTTGTGTTCTATTATTTTCAACTATGTGCCAGAAATGGGTTATAAAATGAGGTTATAAAGTAGATCCTATCTTGGCTCTGCCACTTCAACTGTGATCTTAAGTCATTGTTTTATATATGGATAGCAAGCCCAGGGCCTCCTGCATGCTGAGTCAGTGTTCTGTCACTGAGCTACATTCCCATCCCCTCCACTTCCTCACTTTTAAAATGAAAGAGTAGACTACAGATGGTGATATGAGCCTATAATCCTAGGTAGGTGGCAAAAGGAAAAGGATTATGAGTCTAGATTTTGTTACATGGTGAGTTTCAGGCTAGCCTAGGCTACCTAGTGAAATTCTGCCACATGGAGCTATATTCTAAGACTGCTTCTCTGTTGCCGTAAACTGCCTTAGTTGGTCTCCAGAACTCTGTAAATACTCCATGTATTTATCTTATCTATGCTGACACTTCTGTTTTACAGGTGAGGCCATTGAGGCTGTGGGTGTTGTCACTTGGTAGCAGGCTCACTGAGGTCACTGAGGCTGGGGATGTTGTCACTTGGTAGCAGGCTCACTGAGCATGCAAGAAACCCTCAGCAGCTCATCCTCAGCACACTGTGTAATCACAGCAAATCAGAAATTCAAGGTCAGCTTTGTTACATAGCAAGTTTGAGGCCAGCCTGGGCTACAGAATACTGGTCTCAACAGTAACAAAACCCTACATAAATGGGATTTTTAATTATGTATTAAAAGTGGTTTTGATAGCTGGGTGTGGTGGTTCAGGTACAGCTGGGTGAAGTGGAGGCAGGAAGATCAGTAGTCTAAACTGTCCTCAGCTATGAAGCTAATTGAAGGTCAGCTTTAGCTTACCTGAGACCTTGTCTCAAAAGCCCCCCCCCCCCGCCCCTCCAAATGAAAAGTAAAGTGGTTGTACTAGGCATGCTGGTGCACACCTTTAATCCCAGATTTAGAAGACAGAGGCAGATGATCTCTGTAAGTTCCAGGCTACCCTGATCTACGTAGTGAGTTCCAAGCCAGCATGGTCTACACAGCAAGTTCCAAGACAACCAAGGCTGCATAGAGAGATCCTGTCTCAAAAACAAAAAAACAACAACAAAGTGGTTTTGCTGTACCTTGCATTATATTTCAATTTGTCCATGCAGACCAATCTTCTATAATTAACTTAATACATTATACAAATATACATTGCATATTTACATTATACAAAATAAAATCTAGTGATGGGAGATGTCATTCTGTAAATATGTTCCTCATACTGGCTAATGAATAAAGCACTGTTGGCCAATAGGAAAGGAAGATAGAAGGGACTAGGAGACAAGGAGGAAAGAGGAAGTAGTAAGTAGGAGTCAAGATGGAGAGACTGGGGAGACCAGACTCAGGTCCCATTCCCCAGTAAGATGAAATCACATGGAAATACGTAGATTACAGAAATGGGTTAATACTTAAGACAAAGCTAGCCGATAAGAAACTAGTACCTGGCCAACAGCAGTATATTGAATACAGAGTCTCCATGTGTTAATTGGGGCTGGCGCAGAGGCGGGACAAGACCAGACTGGCAGTGGGAAAAACCTACTCCTTACAATCTAGTACATTAAATGGTTTATTTATAACATTTACAGGATACCCTTATCAATTTCCTTCAATTACCATTGAAAGACTTAAACTAGCAAAGAAATGAAATGAAGCCCAAATAATTGGAATGCTGGGCAGAATTTGCTAACCATGGGCCCTGAGATAGCAGGATACCAAGAATTCACACTGCCTCTCCTTTCCATGAGTCAGCAGGTGGTAAATAGTGTCCTTAAGAAACAAAGAGATAGCAGGAACTCCAGTTTGCCCAGGCAAGATTAATTAGCACACCCTGAGGCCCTAAGGTCTATTGACCCTAACAGTGAGACCATCCGGCCTCAAAGGGTCACATACTCAATGGACAGAGGGTCACACCCCCTCCCTAAGCTTGTGGGTTTTGCCTTTAAAAATACCTGTGCCCAGGGAATGGGGCTTCTCTCTGGCCTGCATGCTGAGGGAGCCCATTTGCACAAACGATTCCTGTTCATTAAAGCCTCTTGCGTGTTGCAGCAACTGGACTGGACATTGAGTTCTTGGGGGTACTGACCGAAACTGGGAGACTCCTCATTCTGAGGGTCTTATCTGTAGATAAATTAGAAGTGAGGAGCTAGACAATTACTATCTTTTTCTTTCTTTTTATATCCTTTTTGTGAGATAGTCTCTCTCAACAGGATAGCCCTGGGTGTCCTGGTACTTACTATGTGATCAGGCTGGTCTCCAACTCACAGAGATCCACCTGCCTCTGCCTTCTGAGTGCTGGGATTAAAGGTATGCGACACTGTGCCAGGCTAGCCCAGTTACTTTTAGCACCTTTCACTGAGACCTTCTGAGTCCTGGGATTTGTGCGCACACATTCTTGAAAAGAAGTATAATTCATTGAAACTATGTTCATTCCACTCCCCATTTTATAATTTTTTTTTCATTTATGTAGAAGACACTTCTCTAGTATCACAAATTGAACTAAGGAAATACAAAATGATTCATGTAAATTGCCTGCTTAAATTTGGGTATTAATAGTGAAGTAACAATGGAAAATTGCCCTAATGTTTCAAAGAACAGGACATGGCTCCAAAGGATGTATACAAGCCAGCCTTTAAATAAGCCATGAAGCACAGTTTTGTATAATGTACCTAGTATTTAGCACACCACCAATAGAAGGCAAGTAGGAGTGTAACAATGATAGTTTTAATTAATATTTTTTTGAACTGCCACCAGGAGCCAGAGTTAAAAATGGAAATGGTTAAGGATATTGATAGCATTCATGTTCTTATGCACCAGGCACAGGGTTAGATGCTTTAGACATTACATCACAAACACTCCTCCCTTGGCAGATCAGCAAAGCAAGGCCAGAAAAGGCAGGCGTACTTATCTAATTGAATGGTTGGTTGTACGAACTCATGGAGTCCAAGTCCTGGACTTCTGGCCACTGGGCTTTTGTTCATGGCCAAGAGCTGTATTTATAAAGCCCACTTCTCAAATGTTACAAGTGCCAACCAATTTATATAACTTTGATGTTTTTGTCCCATTCTTTTTCAGATGTGTTAGTAATACCTGATAAGCCCTTAGGACATGAAAATAAAAATCAAAAAGGGAAACCTGTAAGTAGATGGATATATTCTTTAAAAATTGTTGTCACTTCTATTGTTTAGAGTTAATTGGTATTTACTGATATTCTTCAATATGCATGCATGCATTCATTGATGATAAATTTTATAAAATAATAATTATATTTAATAGATATATAAATTTGCATAACATAAGTTTATAAAGCAATATAAATGGCCTATTGACTCTAGTAAGCCCTACAGTTTAATTCAATGCTTCTGTCTTGCTATTTTTGTAAGCAAGCCACATAATATTAAAACACAGTCCAGGAAGTGGGGGTATAAGTCCATCTTCAATGATATGAACTTTTGGAAAGGCCATTTTCTCATCCCAATTATCCATTTATACTTCAAGTTCACTATTTGAATTTATCTTGTTTATAGACATTGTCAAGCTAACAACAACAAGTATTTCAGAAATAGAACAGGCTTGGAATAAGGATCAAACAAGAAAGAAATGTCTAGATGAATGGTAATGAGAAAGAAAATTTTGATCTACCTCAGATTTGCATTTGGAAGGAAGAATCATGCTCACAGGGAAGGCTTCCAAGCCCTAAGGAAATACCAGTGCTTTCTCTCACCGTATTTAATGATTAACTGACTTGATATTTCACACTAATTCTCTATCACAGGCAGTAGGTTTGATGTGAGCATGTATTGGACTCCTTGCAACAGAACATAGTAATCACTGTAAACCCTGCACTCAATTCTTTAGGACATTGCTGACTCTAATCTTCACACTGGTTGTCCCAGTAAGCCATTAAGATGTCCTGGATATTTTCATATGTGGTGTTCACATCTTCATACTAACTCGTGCGTCTAAAAATAGTCCAAAGGCTCCAGCTGGCTTCACAGTCTGTGCCTGTATTAGAAGGAAGGACATGGGCTCTGTACAGTTTCATGCTGTTACAGGACGCCGAGATTCCAAGTTAGAAGACCTGAATTGGGCTCCAGTCTTTCCACTGTCCGCTGTGATTAAGTTGACACAGCCCATGGTACCTGTATGGGAATCCCTACTGTGCCGCAGGCCCCAGAAATTAACATTTAATGGCACCTTTTTAAACTGTTAATGAGCATTATTTTTATTTAATGCTCACAAAGTGGGAATTTCTTCTGATTTTCATTACAGGTGAGGGCATTGAGATAAACTGCATAGGGATGTCAGGATTTGATCCTAGAGTGCATACAGTTAACCACCTCCTGCCTGCCCACTTTCAGAAGTCAAACTGTTCCATCCAATTTAATGATGAGTATACATTCTGTGGAATGCAATTTTACTTTACAGTAAAATTCCATAAACCATACAAAAATTTAAGACTGCTATGACATCACTAGGTAATATGATCTTGAGGTCACTGTCATATATGTGGTCAGCCACTGACAAAAAGGTATAGTTAATAGCAATAGAAATGAATGTCTTAGCACAGAATGGAGCACAAACTCCCTATTCAATCATGAAAAAGTAGACAGCCTGAATAGTCTCATGAGTATTAAGGAAATGTGTGTCATCAGATTATTGGAATGAAATAATGTATAATGATAAAGCGGGGGAGCTTTTCAGAAGATTCAACACCCAGCCATTATATAAAACTCTGAACAAACTTATAATAAAGGACAACTTTCTCAAAAAAGCTCACATATTACATATTACCCTCAAAGATCAGAAACAAGGCAAAGTGTTTGCTAATAGTTCTCTTTCAGTGGAGTGCAAGAAAGTTTGGCCATTGCAATATGGAAAAAAAGACAATAAAAGTCATACAGAATAGAAAAGAGGAAACAAAATGCATTTTCAGAGGACACAAAGGTTTATATAGAAATCATCACGTAGCCTATAAAAGAAAAAAATAGGCAAGTAATAAGTGCATGCAGGAAAGCTGATGAATACAGATTTAATTATGCAAAAATAGTATTTCTATATACTAACAAAAACATCAGAAAAATTAATGTACAATACCATAACTCAGAAAAGATTAAAAAAAACTTTAAATATATCAAAACATGTACAAAATATAGTGAAAATGACAAGCGATAGCCAAGGACACTGAACATCTAAATAAAGACATACTGTACTCCTGACTGGAGAAGTTAGCATAGTCAAGTTGTCATTCTCTTCAAGCTTCTCCAAAAAACTTCATGCAAATTCTGTCTAAACTGTAGCTTTTGTAGAGAAAATATCACTCCAAAAATGTATGTAGAAAGACAGATACCCAGAATACTTTAAAATAATCTTTAAAAGGAACAACTTAGGAATAATTATTTTGTGTTATATAATAAAGAATCAAGAGAGGGCCAGGCCTTGGTGGCACACACCTTTAGTCCCAGCACTTACGAGGCAGAGGCAGGTGGATCTCTGTGAGTTCGAGGCCAGCCTGACCTACAGAGCAAGTTCCAGGACAGGCTCCAAAGCTATACAGAGAAACCCTGTCTTCAAAAACCAAAAAGAAACAAAAAGAAAAAAAGAATCAAGACAATATGATTTTGGAGGCGCAACAGTGGGAGATATCAGTGGGAGATAATAAACATACCAGTGGGGCTGGAGAGATGCCTTAGAGGTGAAGAGTACTGGCTGTTCTTTCAGAGGACTGGGGTTTGATTTCTAGCACCTATATGGTGGTTTACTCCAGTTCTTGGGAATCTGATTCCCTCTTCTTAGCTCTGTGAGCACCAGGCATACACATGGTACACATAAAAACATGAAAGCAAACTCTCAAACAAAAGTAAAATGAATAAAACTAGTAAATAAAATGTTAAAAAAAATCATGCCAGCAATAGTCCCAACAGATACAATGAAATGCTTGTGTTTGGGTCAACTGGACATTCACAGACAGAAATTTAAATGAATTGTGGCCTAAGTCTCATCTAAAATTTAAAGCAGAATGAAATGAAATGCTAGTGAAATGTGGAAGAAAATACAGTGGAAATTTTTATAGTTGCTCCTAAAATTATTAGTAGTTTCTTTTTAAAAAATGAAAGACAGAAACTAGATCTGTACCTGCCAGAATTCTTGGGTACTTATCCTACAGAAATTAAATTATATGTTACGAAGAAAAGCCTGGGATCCCATGTTCACAGCAGCCTTGTTTATAGCTTGAACTTGGAAACAACCATATGTTCACCAACTCATAAGTAAACCACAGAGCAACACCCAGCAGTGAAAGGGAACACATTACTGACACATAAAGTAACTTTTCTGAATTTTTGAGAATCATGTTAACTAAAAAATAGACTACTATCAAATACTATAGGCTCTATGGTTCTATTTTCATAACATTCTTGAAACAGTACAATTATGAAGTGAAGAATAGATTGTGTATGGAGTCAGGAAGAAAATAATTGTGACTATAGAAAGGATTTCTTGTGGGATACTCTGCATCTCACCTTTATAACAGTGATGTCTTCATTGTGAACACTTGTGTTAGATGCCATTATTGGAGGACTCTATTAAGGAGTACACAGGCTGTCCATTACTTCTTATAACTTAAATCTATTTTTTTAATTAAAAGAAAACTTACCTTAAATGTCTTTCTTAAGGATGAGAAATCTACACACACACACACACACACACACACACACACACACACACACACACACGCATACACACACACCTAAAGTAAAACCAAGAGAAATTCAAATGACAGCCTATAAGACACTTAAACACACCAGACTTGGAAGTTTGAAAGAATCTATCACCGGGGCAACTGATTTATAAATTGAAGACATTTCAGAGTTCTAGAACAAATTCCTAAACAGCTAAGCTTCACAACTAAGCTGCAAAATCTTCAGAATTCTATGGGAAAAGAAGCTTTGGAGTAATTTGAAGTTGAAAAGGGAGTTTCTCATGAACCAAGGTGGACGGTGTGATAAAGAAATGCTCTATTTTGAGACCAACGCCTGGAGTACAAATCTGAACTGGGAAGGACTGACTGTGCCCCTTTCCACACCCAGCTCATCCAGGTGGCCACCTTTCAATAACACCTTCATAAATTAAAACTTTGACAATATGGCTCAGCTAACTTCCGTTTAAACAATGGCATTGACTGGATCCTAAATCCTGCCTCTAAGGTCAGGATGCATGAAAGGTTGGGAGGGGTGGGAATTTACTTTTACTCAGCAAAAAGAGTAGTTGGTAATGACAAAGAGAAATTGGTATGGTACGGTGTGGCATAGTATAGTATAAACAAGATACTTAGAATAAAAGCGATTAGCATATATTAAGTATACACAGTGATGGGTTGCATTATATTTGCATTCACATCTATAATGTGCTTTGATCATATTCACTCTGTCACCCCTTGTCACCCTCCTGCTACTGATCCCTTGCTCCTTCCCTATTAGTCCCCCTTCTATTTTTATGTCTGTAAAAATGTTTTGGTGACCCAGTGAGTTTCACTGGGGTTCCTACAGGAACCATCGAGGGCACAGGCACCTTACCAGTTACTGCACTGTCGAAGAAAATGTCTCATCCCCAGAGACCACAGGTGTCTGTCTCACAAGTGTCTCCCTGCCTCCATAACAGATGTCGATAGGTCCAAGTTTGTTTAAGTAAAAGAATTTTAGATTCAGCATCTTCAAAATGAACACATGATATATTTTACATTCAAAGCAAAGAATGAGCATTTTTTAAAGTATTTATTTATTTTACATGCATTGGTGTTTTGCCTATGGTGTGTCTATGTGAGGGTGTTGAATCCTCTGGAACTGGAATTACAGACAGTTATAAGCTGTCATGTGGGTGCTTGGAATTGAACCCCGGTCCTCAGGAAGAGCAGCCAGTGCTCTTAACAGCTGAGCCATCTCTCCAGCCCCCATAAAGAATAAATATTTAGAAGTGTTCCAATCCACAAAGTCTTTTACTGTCAAATGATCCATGATGATTACATAATTCTCATATAATTCATATAAAGTAATCTGAGGGCCTGGGATAAACAAACATATGAAGTGTGTTCACTATAAAAATAACTTTACAATTTAAAAAAAAAGAGTAAAGTTCCAGGAGCTTCTTATTATCTAAATATCTGTACACACTCAGAAAACAATAAAGCAGGCAGAAAAGTCACCAAGAAAAGGATAGTCATGTGTCACTCTCATTAGCCCTTTGAGCTTTCATTTTTGGTTGTGACCCTAGAGTCTTTAACAGCTGGGCCATCTCTCCAGCCCTGGTCTTTCATTTTCTAAGCAGTTTAAATCACGGTAGACTTATATTTTGATCACAAATGCAATCTAAGTATGAATAATTAAACACATATCACCCCCCCTTCATTGTCCCTTTTTAAGTAGAAAAAAAAAGTGCTAAGTGTCTCTTCATGGCCTGCATAGTCACAGTTGTCCCACATATGCTTTTAAAGAGATTGTAACTTGGTCTTCTGAAACCTTTCTTGAACTACAGTCCATCCAGCTAAGGACATCTTGGGAAAGACAGCCTACTGACGTTTCCAGTCGTCTCCGAAAGGTAAGGATGATATCTGGCTGGAAGACCACTGTGGGGGTGGGGGTGTTCAGCAAACTGAGAGCCATGGGAAACTGTCTGGGTGCAGCTCCTTCAAGTAAAGCTAGGAGGATGCCCTGCAGCTGACCCAACCACGGCTACCAGCTGATTTCTTGCTGGCATTATGTCTCCTGCTAAGGTATCACTAGACCTAAAATTCCAAGGATTCTCTTTTCTCCCTGGAAAACAATCCTCTCCAAACTTCAAAAGTACATTAACTGTGGATCTCTGCTTTTAATGGCTGTTAAACTGCCTTTAGTGTATTGTTAACTTCCACTTAAAATTTTTGAAAACATCTGATAGCTTGAAAGATACTGCTGTCCATGGAACCCATAGTAAAGGTCACACTACAGTTATCCATGTTGCAAGGTTCCCTTATGTACTCCTCCACTTTAGCTCAAGCTAGGGATGTTAGTAGATCAAGTCTTGTGCAGGCTTTGTAAAAGTAATCACAGGAGTTTGGCAGAAATTTCTAGATCAAATCCATATTCTTCTATTTTAATCATCATAAAACTTTGAGTAATTAATAAAATGTCCTAGCACCTATTTCAATAAACTTCAAAGAACTTGAACCACTACAGGCATTTGTTGAATGGTAAACACCCTTCTATCCCCTATATGAGCATATAGTAGGAGTAGTGCATCAGAGAATATGAGCGTAGACATTGCCAGATTATCCTTTAAACTGAGTGTACTAACATGCATGTATACTCAATTTAGGAAAATACTCATTATTATCCACCCCTCCACTAACAATAATATTCCACCGATACTTTTTGATTATTGAGGGTGAACAGTTCTCATGTGTGTGTCATCCTTGTGTGTTTCTATTATTTGTCTGCTTATAGTCATTCATGTTTACAAATAAAGTTATATGCTTATTTATTTACATGTAAAATTACTTTTATATTCTAAAATACATTGCTTTGTTACCTATGGTGTTTATTTACAGTTTTTAGTTTAACTGTTGATGGTGTCAAATTTAGCAGCTTTTCCTCTATAGTTGTTAGCTTATATCTAGTTTTAATATCTTGTTTGGAAGATATTTCTTCTTCCCAAGATGACATCAGTATTCTGGATTTTTCTGTTTTTTATGTTTACCTCTTTTTGTGTGTGTATGCTGGGAATTGAATCCAGGGCCTCACATATGCCAGGAAAGTGCTCTACCAACTAAGCTGTATACCCAGCTCATGTTTGGCTGTCGAACCATCTGGGGTTCTTTTTATATATAACAAAAGAATCTCATTGTCACGATGCTATTTCATAAAATTATCCAAGTAGTTAACATACTTTGACCCTTTTCTTATTTTGTCACCAAGACAAACTGGTAGCATATAATTTATATGAGAATGTTTAAAGGACTGGAGAGACGGCTCAACAGTTAAAGGGTAGGTTCACAACCAAAAGACAATGTTTCAAAGCCTCATCTTTTTATATCAGTTGGTGGTGGTGGTTGTTTTTCTACCTAGTAAAGACAGAACATCTGTGAGAGCCAACACGGAGAGACATGGATGAGTCCTGATTACATGGAATGGCTGCAACCAACCATGCCTAGTCTTTAGGCCTCCTAGTTAAATGAACGTTTCTCAGTTTTAATGAAGTATATTGTTTGAAAGCAAGCATCATAAAATCCTTTGATGTCTTCAAAGTCAAATGTACATACTGCATGTTAAAGTTGGTTACACCTAAATGTTACCCATTGTTAGAACTTAGGAGAGTGCCTTGTCTACTGTAGTTGCTCAGTGTTTGAAAACAAGTTAAGAATGACAAAACAAAAATTCAATAAGAAATATTTTGAGGAAGTTAGAGAAATAGTTCAGGGGTTAAGAGCACTTATGCAAACATGCACACCAGTTTGAATCCGAGAACCCTGCAAATGCCTGTAACTCCAGTTCCAGAGTTAGTACATGAATTTTAATATCAAACCTAGAGGTAAATTGTCTTAACTCTAATTAGAAGATACAGACTGACTGACTGACTGACTGACTGACTGACTGAATGAATGAATGAAAAGCCAAGGTCTAAGTGTTTGCTGTCTGCCAGAGACTCGCCTAGTTGCAAAGACATACACAGACTAAAAAGATTGAGATTGAAGTGATCTCCCCATCAAATGGAATGCAAAAACAAACAGGAGTGACTATATCTGACAAATTAAACTTCGAGCCAAATAAAGAAGGTCACTACATACTTGATAATCTCTGAAGAAAAGTCATTATGAGACAAAATTCTTATTTAGTGTTAAACAGTGTTTATACCTTTAAGGGACTATTAAGTAAAATAATCTTGGAAAATACTTTTGTATTATGAGTTGTCTAAAATTAAAACTTCTTCTTTTACAAGGTGGCTTTTGCACAAAAAGAGTATACTATACCAGTTTTCAGAACAGAATATACAGAATTCAAACCAAAACATCCGGTGAGTCCTATTATTCTAGTCTGGTACCAATAATCAATTCCTAGGTTTCTAGGTTTCTTCAATACTACATATGCATGTATACATGCATATGTGAGTATACATAAATAACATATTGTATGTATTTCTCAAACCAGAATTAGTAAATGCCTTTTTTACTAATTTTTTTACTACCTTTAAAAATATGTATTTCCAAACTCCAAATTGAGCTAATCAATTTCATTCTGAAAATGAAAACTTGGAAATGTGTTTCTGAAAAACAAAAACAAAGAAGCAAAACAAAATATAACAAACAAACAGAAAAACCAGGAAATTCTTAATATGTCATCTAAGCATCTGTTAGCATTTGAAAAGTAATTATAATAATTTATAATCATTAAAAGGCACTTATGGCTGAGTTGAAGTGAATTATTAGGCTGGTTATTTCAGATTCTGCATCTTTTTTTCAGTCTCACCATGTAGAAGCTGCACAAAGAGACTGAGTAAGAGGTTTCCAGATAAAAGTTTAGAAAATGGACCCTTTAACAGCTGAGCTAGCACTCTAGCTGGGTGGTGAAGTCCTAGCTGCTCTCTCAAAAGCCTGAGTTTGGTTTTGGGTACCCAGAGGTGGTGCCTCCCAACCATCCATAATGCCAGCTCTAGAGAACCAAACCATCTTCTGCCCTCCACAGGCAACCACATATAAATTTAGAAAACTAAAATAAATTTTAAAAAATTTAAATATAGACACATATCATCTTAAAGGTTGCTTCAATGTTTGAGTATATAGATCTCAGTTTAGTAGGGCTAGTATACTGAAATTTCACTGTAAGCCAGAGAGTTTGATATTGTTCTCTGCCTACTCAAAAAGCACAACTCTACTGTGGTATATTAAGGACTGATCAGAGGCCTTCATTGCTGAAACTCAGTCTCAAAGGCAGATGCTATACACCCCTAAGATGGAATGTAAAGAATAATGCCATGAACATTTACTATTTATATGCATTTTTTTAAATTCTGAAATTATTACTAAATGGTAAATATTTATAGCAGATAAGATTTTGACCTTGGTATTAACTACTGACTGTCTCAGTAGACAAAACTAAATTTAACCATTAAAAGGAAGTATTTATAAGTGGCTTTCAAGTAGTTAAAGATTTCACTGTAGACAAGGTAAGAAAGGAAAACAACAGCATTCCGGGCCTGCCTGGACAACACAGGAACACCTCATCTGAAAAGTAAATAGATAAATAATAATTAAATCAATCAATAAATAAGCAAAAACCAAACCAAAACAAACAAACAAACAAACAAAAAAAAAAACCATAAGGATAAAGTGTTAGAATTAGGAATTTAAAATTTTTTCACTAAAAATTGATTTTTCACACAAACTTGAAGTATTTTCAAATAAAAGGTAATTTCTCTCCCTTTATAAAACAGGTGGGAGGATGAATCAATTGACAACTTGCTCTACAAAAACTGTCTAGAAAAGTCATTATAATTTTAAATAAATGCTAAGGAATTTCTTTTCTTCTTTTATATTGCACTTTCAGAAACTCAGCAAGGGTGGTCTTGATCCTTTTCTAAGGAACATAAACAGCAAAATGTCATTCAGAAAGAAGAAAGACCAAGATGCATACATATATCCAAGCACTTTAAGTACAGAGGTTGCAGAGCATGAAGATCAAGACCCTCCTTACCCAGAACATTCAAGGTTTGTAGGATCTAATACAACCTGGGCTGAAGATCCTAACCTCATCACAATCCACATGGTAAACAAGAATAACTTGCCTCCTGACCATACTACCACCACCACAATGACTTCAGACAGGAAGAACAAGTTGCCACATGATCCAACTCTCAACACAACAAACACTTCAAATACAAAGAGTATATTTGCAAGTGGTAATCCTGTTATTACCATCACAAAGGTTTCAGATTGTAATTATAAACTGTCAACTGACCCTAGTTTCAACACAACAAAGCCTTCAGATATGAGGCTATCCAATGATTCTAGTTCCAATACAGTAAAGCCTCCAGATATGATGCTGCCCGGTGATTCTAGTTCCCAAATAACAAAGCCTTCAGATACAAGGCTATCCAGTGACTCTAGTTCCCATACAGCAAAGCCTTCAGATACAAGGCTATCCAGTGGCTCTAGTTCTAATACAGCAAAGCCTTCAGAAATAAGGCTATCCAGTGGCCCTAGTTCTAATACAGCAAAGCCTTCAGAAATAAGGCTATCCAGTGGCCCTAGTTCTAATACAGCAAAGCCTTCAGAAATGAGGCTATCCAGTGGCTCTAGTTCTAATACAGCAAAGCCATCAGAAATGAGGCTATCCAGTGGCCCTAGTTCTAATACAGCAAAGCCTTCAGAAATGAGGCTATCCAGTGGCTCTAGTTCTAATACAGCAAAGCCTTCAGAAATGAGGCTATCCAGTGGCCCTAGTTCTAATACAGCAAAGCCTTCAGATATGAGGCTATCCAATGGCTCCAGTTCCCATACAACAAAGCCTTTGGATACCAGGCTATCCAGTGGCTCCAGTTCCCATACAACAAAGCCTTCAGATACAAGGCTATCCAGTGGCCCTAATTCCCATACAACAAAGCCTTCAGATACAAAGCTGTCCAGTGGTCCTAGTTCTCATACAACAAAGCCTCCAGATATGAAGCTATCCAGTGGCCCTAGTTCCCATACAACAAAGTCTTCAGATATGAAGCTATCCAGTGGCCCTAGTTCCCATACAACAAAGCCTTCAGATATTAGGTTATCCAGTGTCCTTAGTTCCCATACAACAAAGCCTTTGGATACAAGACTATCCAGTGGCTCCAGCTCCAATTCAACAAAGCCTTCAGATATGAAGCTATCCAGTGGCCCTTGTTCCAATTCAACAAAGCCTTCAGGCACTAATATGTTGTCCCATAATCCTAGTATCAATGGAAATAAATCTTCAGATCTTACTAAGCTGTCCCATGATCCTAGTACCATTTCAACAAAGTCTTCAGATGCTAAGAATAAGTTGTCACATGATCCTAGTATCATTTCAACGAAGTCTTTAGATAGTAAGACTAAATTTCCAAGTAGTAATCCTACTGTCAATTCAGGTCCTACTACCAACAGAGCAAACACTCCAGCCTCGAGGGATACAACAGTACTTGGTCCTGCTCTCTTCACAGAAGACTCTTCAGATATACAGCGTGACTTAGAAAAACAGCTACCAAATGTATCTTTACCAAGCTACCAAGGAAAATCAATGACTGGAAATGTAGACCTATTTCACCCCTCGAGCTCAATAAATTTTGCCACTGATATTGAACATTTAAAACAGTCAATAGCACTCAAATCAATTTTAAGTAAAAATCTGCAAGACCTTTCAGATGAGTTATTTTCTAAAGCAGAAGTCTGCACAAACACTGAGCTGTCAGGTGGGACGCAAGACAGAGTGTTTGAAAAAGTCCAAGATATAAACAGCTGGCTTTCACCAAAAGACATTCTGAATTCACAGGCTCTTTTAAGTCCTGTGATTAAAAGTGTTCCTCAAGACTTACTTCCAGAAGGTGGGCCAGGAACATCTTCAGACATAGAAGATGTCTCTGACAGACTTTTAGAGGCTGCTGAAACACGTCTCCCAATGAACAGAAAGAGTAGTTTCAAAACAAAACATTTAGTAAGTGAAATACCAGGGTCCAGTTCAGGTTTAAATGGTAGTGCATGTGACTATGTTATTAAGCAAATATTCACTGCACCCACCCTCTCACAGCTGGAGACAGGAATTACGGCACTGAGTGAGGCACAGATGGCCTTACAAGAGCAGCTGTTCACATCTTTGGAAAGAAGTGCATCTTCACAGATTCTTAACTATGAAGAAAAAGGCAAGGAAGTTCCTTTGTCACGGTCCAAATCTGATATAAGCAAAATAATGCAATCATTTCCTGTAGAAACTCTCTTAGAATCTGGAATAATCAAAGTGATAGAACTAGATAAAGAAAACCAGAGCTCTTTGTTGAACATACAGACAGCCTCTCCTGAGGAGAATCTGCAGAATCCCACAGACCAGCACCATAATGTCACAAACCAAACAAAAGTGCTTGCAAGACAGAGTACAGCTAACCCTAACCCCACTGTCACCTTTGTGAGTGGAGCTGATTACACAGAAGACAGACAAGGTATGTTAGCACAAGAGGCAAAATACCCAAGGGCAGACAAAAAGTCAGACTTACCAAAAGAATACCAGAGTCTGGACACAGAGGAGGCTGGGCCAAGTTCTAGCTTAGAGACTCTAAGTAGCTTACTGGGCAAACTTAAAGATACCGACACAGTGATGCTAAAATCCTTCCTAAAAAAAATCTTCAGTGTTTTCTTCAAGCCAGAAAGAAGAGAACACCCAGAAAAAGAGCTTGACAGACTCATACAACACTCTTCACTACGTGGTGGTGTGGAACACCCAGAAAAAAGTCAGGAGAATCTTAATAAGGCAGACAAAGTAGACAGGAAGCCCATTTTGGATCCGAAGTTGTGTGTGTTTCTAGAAAAACTCTCAGAGTCAGAAGTAAAAAATCTGAAGTCTGAGTTAAGTAAGCACATTCAGCGTTACCTTATAGAAAAGCTCTCAGAGGCCGGCCACATCACCAAGGAGGACTTACCAAAAATCTACCGAAACCTCTATCAGATGAATGAGAAAGAGGAACTAAAGGAGCAGAGCCCTTTTCAGGACAAGTATTCAGAAACTGTCAAGGAAATCATGTCTTTTGTAAATAATTTTAATCATCATTTCATAGATAAACATTTAGAAATAAAGCTTAGATCTTTTCTAAATGAAATTCTCCAAAATTATTTCCTGAAGAATCTTTCAGAGAGCAGTTTATTTAACGAGACAGCTGGTGGAGCTCTATGTACCAGCATGTCATCTCTGAGAAGTAAAAGCACCCAGGGGTCTTTGCATGGGCTGGCCCAAGACATTTCCAGTGGGAGTTTTGGTTCAAGGCTTAAAATAAACATGAACTACCCTTTAAATGAATCTCTACAAAATTGTCTTAAAGTTTTATCAGAAAGTGAATTACTAAGTCTAAAATCTGACTTGAGCAAATATGTCCAGGTCCTCTTTATAGAAAAACTCCATAAATCAGGACTAATGACAGAAAGACAGCTCAAGGGGATCAGCCAGCAAGTTAACTCACTTACTCCACCTCCCATGCCATTAAAATGCATAAAACCAGATTTACCTTTTAGAGATGAGAGTTACTTTATGAGGGAGGATTCAGAAGAGCAAATGAAATATCCGAAAACTGGTCAAAATACCACTTTACAAATATATCTTGAAGATATCCGAGGAGAAGCAGAACTGGCCAGAAAGCAAGAAAGGGGAATGTCTTTCCCACACAACTTAAAAGAAAATCCACCAACAATTTGGGACCATAAACATGTCTATAGTAGGGAAGTTAAAACACTAAATTTAATAAAAGTACAACCTCCTCCCAACAAAAATATCCAGGCAAACCCATTAAATAAGTTGCCGGAAAGACCTGCAGATTTATTACTTAAGAAACATAAGAAAGATCATGGTTTCATGCAACTTCCTCAAGCAGAAACCTCTACTTACAAAACAGAGATTCAAGAGCCATATAGTTGGGATGGTAGATCAAAAACAGTTCAATCTAAACCTTGCTTTGAAAAGACACTAAAAGTGAAGCTACTTGACAAGAGAGAGAACAATAACATTTGTAAATTGACTGTTCAGGAAAAACCCGATACAGTATTTTCACCTTATCTAAAACTTCCTACCTGCAAAATGTCAAGAGAAAATGAACACTTAAACAGACTCTCCTTCCCTACCTGGCGGGCTAACACTTTCATATATGTTAACACAGAGAATGGGGAACAGTCCAAATTAGATCAGTATTGTCAGAGATGGAAAGGAAGTAACAATAACAACAAGAAACACTTGGTAACATTTGCACAATTCAAAAACGAAATGGAAACTCTTTATATAAACCCATATGAAACTTGCAACGAAAGATATGTCAGGATCTCTGACCCACAGTCATTTAAACATAAAGAAAATGAGAAAAACTCAAGATCATTCTTCTTCCCGGAAGTACTGAAGAGAGAAAACATGAAATCCAAAAGAAAAGAAAGAGATTATACCGTCAAACCAAAGAAGTCATTTCACAAGATAGTTAGGATACTACCAGCGACTCTGCCCCCTACAAGGCCTCATCTCCGGAAATCTGTTCCAAGAACTTTACTTCACTGGACTGCAAGGAGAACTATACATGTAATAATGCTTTTTCTAAATGTCTGCTTCTGATTTGGCAAGGTTTTTTTTTTTAAATACTTTTTACTTTGGAATATGCATGTTTTCTAAATGTAGGGGTGTGTGTGTGTGTGTGTGTGTGTGTGTGCGTGTGTGTGTGTATCAGTCCTGGCTGTCCTGGAACTTGCTCTGTAGACCACGTAGATGAGACTGGCCTTGAACTCACAGAGATCCACCTATCTCTGCCCTCCGAGTGCTGGGATAAAAGGCACGTACCCCTATCACCCAGTTCTTAATCTCTGCACCTTGGCCGGCCGTGGATCTCTGTGTTAATCACTACCTAGTATAGAAGCTTCTCTGATGAGGTTTGCGAGATGCATTGATCTACAGCCATAACTGTAACTAATGATAGTCTAATAACAGCTTCTTGACCTGACAAGGATGCAGCTATAGGTTTTATCTATCAAGTAGGATTTAAACCAACATAGAAAGTAGTTGGTTACTCCCATGATGTCCATGCTGCTCTTGCACCAGTGGGCATGCCTTGCCAGGCAGATGCTATTTTAGCTTACAAGGTCACAGCTGGGTATGACTGGTGATTATTTTTCCCCTGTTGGCATGCAAAGTACCTTCTAGTAGGTACTATGAAACCTAGCTAATAGGGATGAAGCTTCCAGGCCAGTGCCAGCCTGATAGCTCCATGTTCTGTGACTGGTGGTATCTTTAGCACTGTAGTCTTATCATTAAATTCTGGAGGATAACCAATAGCATTGGCAATAGCCTGTAATGTTTGTGAATAACTCCAATAGCAATAACTCATTCCTGGCATGAGGCTTTTGTTAACCTATGGCATCTAGTAGGGGCAGCTATCCCACTATAGTTACAAGGCAACTCCATTACACACACACACACACACACACACACACACACACAGAGAGAGAGAGAGAGAGAGAGAGAGAAACAGATAGGTTTCCATGTGACTTTTTTTAAAGAAAGGTCCCCACATTCCTCCTCTACCCCACTCTCCCAACACCCCCCCACGCCAATTTAATCTTTCCTGTTCCATGATTAGGAGGTTAAGCTGGCTACTAGGCTTTGTGTGTACATTCTAAAACAAGGCATTTATTTTAATTCTTTGGATCTTGGCTCTTCTCCATTAATTTATATGATGGGTATGACTCATAATTTGGACAACTGTTAAGATCTAAAATTGATCTTAAATTAGTGAGTTGATATGCGTAAGTCTGCCTTTGAATGAGAAAATATATCTAATTTCAGAATAGTTACTTTGAGATAGTTTTATACAGTAAAGCAAGTTATTAACTTTATAGTGGCAGGACAGACAGCTCTATATTACATGTAGTATAAATATTATAACAGCTCTGTAGTGGTAGGATAAGAGTTTTTACTCTTAGTTTTAGATTTTTCTATCTACATAGAGTAGTTTAGTATTGAGCTAGTATATGTGTATACACACAGGCATGTGCATATCAAAAGGAACAGATTGTTTTCTGAAGAAACAAGAACTATCAAGTTCCTTTAGACATTTTTTCCAAATGAAGAAACGGTGTTCGTGTCAAATGGTATAAAAGCATATGTGATCTCATAGTTCTTTGTGTATGTGTATGCGCATGTGCACACACATGTGCGCATATTGTGGAGGCCAGACATCAATCGTGACTGTTGCTTCTTAATGCTATCCTCTTTTTTGTTTCTCTTTGGTTTGGTTTGATTTGGTTTGAGACGGGTCTCTCATTGGACTGGAACCTGAAGATTCGTGGTGGCTGCCTGGCTGGTTAGCCAGCTTCAGGAAGCCTCCTCCCTCTCTCTCTCTCTCCCTCTCTCTCTCTCTCCCTCTCTCCCTCTCTCCCTCTCTCCCTCCCTCCCTCCCTCCCTCCCTCCCTCCCTCCCTCCCTCCCTCTCTCTCTCTCTCTCTCTCTCTCTCTCTCTCTCTCTCTCCCCCAGTCCTGGGATTCCAAGAGCTTACTACCTTGCCCAGGTTTTTTTTTTTTTTTTTTTTTTTTTTTTTTGTTTTCTAATGTGGATTCTGGAGAATGAACTCAGATCCTAAAACTTGCATCTCCCCAGCATTTATAACCCTTTCTGTAAGCACAAGGGAGGAGTTTATAGTTATTCCCCTATATTAGGACTAAGTGTTTCTAAACTTTTATTTCTAATAGACAATAAAATTGAAAGGCACAAGAGCTTTTGTCAAATGATCATGAAGATGTCTTTCTATTTTCTGAAATCTAAGAACTTCTGAAATGAATCAATCTAAAGAGAGAAAAACTGTGTTGTGGGGACTTGACCCCAGGAGGGCAGCTCCTTAAGGATTTTGGCTTCTAGCTCCATATTTTTCACATTTTGAAGCAGCAGATTTTTTTTTTTTTTTAAACCCAGGAATAGAAGGGACTTCTTTTGAACCAGTGGCGTGGTTCTCATGTCCTTCACTGATGCCCTGGTCACTAGCTGTGGAGCTGAAGTTGTTAGTAATTGCTAACATAGCAGAACCTCTCCTAAGAATCTGCTTGGGAAAAGAATCACTGGGCATAGAAGTGAACACCATGCATTCCAAAGGCCAGATGAGCTCAAGTTCTAGGCCAGCCTAGGCTATACAGTGGGTTCCAGGTTAGTGTGGGCTAGAATGGGCTTTTCAAAAAGAAAAGAGAGGAAAGAAGGAAGGAAAGGAAGGAAGGAAGGAGGGAGAGAGGAAGGAAGAAAAGAAAGGAAGAAAGAAGTCCTTCTGCCATCTCCAAATCAGGCAAAAACTCAAAGGAGTAGAATTGGTTTCTAGTCTCTTAGAGCACATTTCTTTTATGGATCTCTCTAGTCATCCAAGTTCTTACTAGTTCTACCCAACCTTCATGACCCTACAATTGACCTAGTACACTCCAACCTTACCTTCCATCAAAACAGCCTGTGAGTGGCTGTCATGCCCCTCTCCTCCAGATGGGAAGAACTACTCTGTGAATAAACACTGCTATATGGCAAATAGCTCCATACATTTTTAGGGGGTTACATATAGATCTTCATATTAAAATATAGCAATAAAATGTGCCAAGAAGAGAACTGTTACTTCCCCTTCTTGTTACTTTGGTAATCTTGAACTCAAGGTAACCCTCCTTCCTTTACCCTGAGTGATGGGACTACAGGCCTAAGCCACCACACTTGGAAAATTACTAATGTAAACATCCTAATAACCCATCTGGAGACTGAGATGGGAAGATTTAGAGTAAGAGGCTATCTTGGACTATATACTGATAATCAATCCCATACAAATATTATAGTCATAATCTTGAACGTTATGCTGTATCTGTGTATGTATGTATACATATATATATATATATATACTGATAAAGATGGTTATTGAAGTACTTGTAGAGACTGATAAAAATTTAGATGATATGAAAGTAAAACATCCAAGTTTATAATTTATAGTTGAGGTCATGGGAAAGATACTTTGGAATACAAGAACTATAGACTAGGCTGGCCAGCTTTGCCTTAGTCTGAAACCAGAGGATAGCTCCTTATGTGTGCCTGGGTTTCTGTTTCATATCTTTCACCCCTTTGAAGCAGCAAGTCCTCTAAAAAGGTAAGAATTAGAAAAACAAACAAATAAACAAACAAAAACTCCCTGATTTCTAAAGGAGTATCTAATGGGAACCACAGGGCACAGAGCATGCATTGGGAGTACCTAAAACACACTAGGGCATTCACTTCTTAACTGCTGGTACTACACACATTAGTTATTTTAACCTTAAAATGTATTTTTAAAAAGCCTAACTTACTAATTTGATGTTTTGTCTCAATATTTAGGATTGTTTGGATAGATACGAAGATTTACATGTACCCTCAGTTAAGCCTCCTAAAAACTCAAAATCAAGAGCAAGACTTTTAGGCAAGAGTCCAGATGAGTCCCATAATCGAATAAAACACTGTGCACGACCGTACACTGCTCCAGAGCCTAACAAAAGAAGAGACAGTGTCGCTGGGAAATTTGCAAGTCCTCGGATGGTTTCAGCAAGCTTAGTTCATATACACGATACCACCCCAGAGTATGAGATACATAAAATTCGGTCCAAAAGGAAATTAAAAGAAAATATTGAAAAACATCCACTCATTTGTGATATTATCCGGATGCTAGACACTGCAGAATGATATGTTGAGGCCACCAGTCAGAATATAATTTCTCCATTAACAAAATGGTTTGAAGATCTATCTTTGTGTGTGATACAAGTCAGCAACTGAGTTTCATCTTGTTAGACCATTTTGTTATTATTAAAATGAAAAATAAACACATTCTATGTAAACGTGTTTTTGTTTATAAACCTTTCAGGACAAACTAAAAAATGTATATGTATATACATTTGGTGTTCATTAGCAAAGTCTTGCACCCCAGCTTTTCCCTTTTGGGGTGAACTAGTCTTTAACTCCCCCAGCATTTGTGGTACTGGGTTATTCCTTCCCACTCAGTTTGCCAGTTCTCCATTTGCAGCTGTCTGTGTTTAGCAACTAATCTTTACTTGGCTCCAGTTAAATTTCCAAATTCAACACTCTACACTTCTCTAGGCTGATAGAAGGAATGCAGGGACTTATTTACTGATCCAGGCTAAGAAGCCAAAAAGTACAATGGGAAAAGCCCAGAGCTACCAAAAACCAGTGCTCCCGCCACTCAGAAAGGAAATGTTACCATTCCATCTTAAAGACATCAGAAAATGAAGAAACAGCTGCAGCCAAGAGTATCAGAGGTGAGTTGAACAGTGAGAATGACCTCCCCACCATCAGTAAAAACAAAACAACAACAAAAAAGATTTTAGCTGTTTCTGCCCCAGATGCCAGAGGAATAAGGCATTCATGAGAGATGTAGTTCCAGTGAGGCAGAGGATAGCTAAGATGTAAATTGAGTGGAAGCAGGCAACGGATCAACAGTGACGAGGAACATCACAGGTCTGGCTTTAGCAAAGATACATTTCCTAGAAGGAAATCTCACATTCCTGTAGCTCATTAAAATTATGACAGTATTGTCACTTGCTAGCAGTGTTCCTAAAACATTTCACCATGGAAACCTCTGAAGTTTTCCATACAACAAAAATTCTAATGTCCCCCCAGTAACACCCTCCTGTCTGACTCTGAACCGGGGTTCACTCTTCACAGCCACTGGAGTCACACTCAAGTCATGTCCTAGAGCTTAAGCCTTTGGGCTAGAACTTCACCATCAGCTTTTGTTTATTAACTCATGGCAGACCTTGAGGCTTATCAGCCTCCATAATTTTGTGAGTCAATTCTTTACATGTTTATATATGTAATGGATATCAAGTTTTATAAGTATACATAAACACATTCTAATTCCCAATATACCTACAGAAGGATTGCTGACAGGCAACATTTCATGACAACCCCATCCACTTTTGGCAGGTTACACTTACAACTCCCAATGTGGCAGCTGTTCTCAGTGTTTGTATCCTCCCCCTTCACTGCCCACTCTCTCACCTTTACTTTCCACCTTGGCATGTCTTGGCGGCTGCCTAACATTCATTCTTGAGACGGGGTATAGCCAACAAACATAAACTGAATTTCTTCAAGCTGCTTGCCTATTTAGTCTTAGGCAATCATTTTACAGTAACTTCCAATGTAATATAGTCTCTTCTAATGTATATAGTCATTGACATAGACCCCAATTTATTACAACTTAAACTACAAGCAATATTTGAGACAGTGTGCTGGTTTGGATGAAAATATGTCCTGTGGGCTCATCTGGACCCTTAGTTGGTGCTGGTGATGCTCTTTGGGGAGGTTATTGAACTTTTAGAACTCTGAGACTTCCTGGAGAGTCTATAGCTTCACCTCACTTCCAGTTCACTCTCTCTTCCTGTGTGTAAATGAAATGTGACCTCTTGGCTTTCTGCTCCTGATGCCATTCCTTTCCTGTCCATACTTGTCATTAAGGACAACTAGCCCTCTGCAATGCTTCCTTAAGTCACTTTTGATCATGGTATTTCATCACAGCAACAAAAAATTGACTAATACAACATCTGCTAAAGAGGCAATACCAGTAACAACTACAGAAACAATCATATAAAAGGTCAGAATGCCATCTGTCCCTAACATCTACTCAAAATTACCTACAGTTTCTTAGGTTATGTAACTTATGTTTGTAAAAGACCTTCTCTTAGCAAATCAAATTAGAATCTGTGTTCTAGCTTTGTTAAGTCACACAAAATAAATAAAAGATATGTTAAATTTAATAAATTTTTATTGAGCTCCCACAGGGTGCATGATTTAAAGCTCTATAATTTCCACAGGTAGAAAAGTGTTACTTTAGCCCCCCTCCCTTTTAAAATGCAAATTACATCTTCTCTTTCTATTTTAAGTGAATTATTTAATGTGACCAAGGCTCAGTTTGATATTACCATATGTAAAAGGGATAGTACAAACATTTTCCCTTCTCCAAAAAAAGGGCTTTGTACCAGCATAAACCAGCCTGTGCATCTAACAATAGCTGATCAAAAAGAATATAAAATCCGGAAGAAGATATGTTCTTGGAATCACTGTCCTGGGAGGAAGGGCTCATTCCCCAGAGGACAGCAAAGGTTTTCACTAGCTGGCTCAAAACATTACACTGAGATGCAGAAAATAATGTCACAGCTTCAAGAAAAGGAAAAAAGTGTGGGGTGGGGAGACAGACGATACTGTCTAATTCTGATGCTGAAGTTGGGAAAGTACTCTGCTCTGAGCAGAGGGTGAGACCATGCCCATGAACAGAGTGATTTTAACTGATCATCTCCAGTGCACCAACTGTATTTTCAAGTATAGATCTGGCATTTGTACCTAACAATACAGAAGAAGAGCAGCAAGGAGAAGCTGTCAAGTATAGAGGACATGAAATGATTTGGCAACCCTAGAATTCCCAGTCTGGGTCTCTGCCATCAGGAAGCTCGCATTCCAGCTCACTCCATGGTGACACCGGAGGCAGTGCCAACGGTGGCCTGGTGTAAGCAGGTGGTAACAGTGAGAGTATGGAGCCCTGGCTCTCTTCTTTCATCTGTTAAAGAAACTTAAAACAGTGATGTGGGCACATAGGTTCAACACAAATTTTATTAGCAATAAGTAACGTTTAAAGAAATTATACAACTTTAAAATTATTTTTAGGTCATTTTCCTAAAAATGCCTCAAATTCTGTTAATCAGAAAACAGAAATACTAAAAGCTAATTTTAATCTAAATTATTCTGCCCTGTCATTATTTCTAGGTAAGCTATACACCAGTTTTAAGTTAATAAAAATACAGAGTATGTAACATGATATGCTGTTTTCACTCATCTGGTTTTGAAAAATAAAAATTTTCAGATATTCTACCATTAGGGCCATCAGATGGCCAAGTGGGCAAAGGTACTAAAGGCATTTGCCACGACACCTGAAGACCTGCGGTCCATCCCTGGGATCCACATGGTGGAATGAGAAAATGAATTCGGCAAGTTGTCCTTTGACCCCCACCGTGCACGAACATAACACCCAAATACACACATACAGTACGTCTAAATTTAAACTACTAAAAATGTTTTCTTGCTTTAACTCTATTTTATAGGAAAGTTATTAGTAAAACTCTATAAAGTCAACAAAATAATGACTTTTAAAAATAACGTTTTAAAATATTTAAGACAACAGACAACAGACCAGCTTACCTGCTTGAAGAATACATGTGACAATAAACTGCTTGCTGATGGCCTGAAATTTTTGAAAAAAATTATTAGAAAATAAAACCTAATATTAGAATATAGATTTTTAAGGTATATAATTACATTAAAAATGAGTTTGGAACTATAAAACTCAATATGAAAAAGTTAGAAGAAAAACGGAATAAGTTAGAAGTAATTCCTAGCAACAGCCTTGCCTGATGGGAAGAAGTAAATCTAGAAATACCTTTAAATTAATCTATACTCAACTTTTATTGCACACATACTACATATAAGGAACTATGGCAGAATGAAGGTTTTAAAAAACTAAGATAACAATATTTTATTTCTAAAATGCTAGTTCTAGCACATCAGTATTTAAAATCCTAGTTTATATTAGTATAATAGTAGCAAAACCACTTTATACTGCTTAGAAGTTTCTATACTACAAGTGCCTTAACATAGATACACTAAGAGTAGCTGATCTGAAGGCGGCATGGATGGGTCCAGTATGGCTACTAACAAAGCCAACTCCTGTGATTCTGAACTTGGTGTTCTTAGTACTGATAGTCAGTTTCTAGATTTAAGTTTCTGATCAAAAGATGTAAATTTTATGGGAAGGGTAATATCACAAAACTCTAAGATTTAAAGCACATATGTTTTATGCTATTTAGAGGTGACCAATGTTACCTTTTCTCAGGATCTTGCTGCAAACACAGCTGCACCAGGCTAAAAAAGGCAGGAGAGAATGTTTTTGTGGATGGTGTGTGGAGCCGGTCACTAGTGACTGTGTGAGTTCCAGTCGAGACAAGCACGCTCTCTCCAATCCCAGAATCTACTCCTGACTGGGAATTTCTCATTCTAGAGTCCGACTGTGGAAAAATACTGATATCCAGTGGGCTATATGGAGGACCTTTCAGTTTCTGTAGTAACATCTAGGAGAAAGGAAAACATTCTTATTTGCTTTATAGGTAAATCATTTAGACAAAAATGAGCAAATTTCTAGTGTCTACAACAAACATGTTCAGTGGAAGTTATCTAGACCTAAGAAAGCTATCAGAGTGAAGTGCAGGGAGTTCAGAAGCATTACCTGAGTCCTGTGCATGTCCTGGAAAGGTACCTGCCCACTGGCTAATTCACATGCTGTGATCCCAACACTGTAAATATCTGACTTCACATTATATCCATGCAAATCCTGCAAATACAATTTGAAGGCCTTAGTACAAATAATGAAGAGTGGCATGCCGGTGTCCTCTTGATAAAGGATGGTGAACAATGAAAAAAGAACCCCAAACAAAATCAAGATCTACCTAAAAGATGCTTTCACAATTTAAAATTCCTAACACAATTCTGAGGAGAGAAAAGGTCTTGTGGCAGCCATTTACAAAAAAAAAAACAAAAAACAAAACAAAGGACACAACTGTCCTTTAGTCAAACTCAAAGACATTTGAGACGCACAGACAACCCAATGCAACAGCCACACCTGACCTGTCTCAGTAGTTCTGGACTCAGCCACGGCTGCACTGATGTGCTGAACTGTGGGAAATCAAAGACAGCCCTATGTCTCTGTCCGTGCTTAACCAAACTATGCAGATGGGACAGGCCAGAGAGGGTCACCAGGCCATCACCAGAAATGAGGATGTGGCTGGCTTTAAAACTCCTAGAACAAAAAGAAACAATCCTAAGTACTAGGAATCTGGCCAAAGAAGAATGAATAAAATTCTGGTGAGAACACATCTCTATATTACCTTGGGAAGTAAATACCCTTTATAAAACAGTAGTGTACAGTATGCATTTAAAATACATGACATTTCCAAGGAGCCTAGGAACTCCTTAGGTACTTAATATAGTACCAGAATGGGGGGAGGTGAGTCACAAAGCTACATGTTTGGAATTCATAGAATTCTTTAAGAAATGAAATCAAATTATTTATTTTGCTATTTTAGGTTGCACTGAAGCATACCATTATTATTTAAGGTTAAATGCAATACAATAAAAGTCCCTGTGGAATAACATCATGTAAGAGCCTTACTTTTCCTAGAAAACACTAACTTTGGACACTAACAGTGGCACAGCTATAATCTGGTAAAGTGAAACATCTTCACTTGAATGCAGTCAGTTTGGAATCCTCAGTCACAGCACTGCTGAAAAACAAGTGGTACAGCACCAAACGCTAAGGAGATGGAAACAACAACAAACGAGTCTACTAAAGTTAATCTATAGTGAAAAACAAGGGTCTGGAGGAACACGGGGCGGGTATTTAGTATGTGTGACATACTAAATGGACTGACACCACTCAGACAGAGAGGGCTATTAAGACTCATGTAAGACAGAAGCATGACATTAGTTGGAAAGCAGGCAAAGAAGCTCTTTATTTTCCCCAAAAGAACAACAGAATCCCAGCCGATATCTGGGCATGTGAGTTTTCAGCGCTCCCACCTCGAACTAAGACAAGCACTTTGCAAGTGCCACACCAGCACACACTGTTGTGTGAACACTTTTGGTGAAAGACATGAATGGTAGGCCCCAGTGGTAGCTACTGGTCCCTTCTTCAATCTGCATTTATAAATGTCTTATTCCTCCTTTTCTAACACTTAACTGCTCTTTACTAAGGTCTCCCTGAGGACTGCTATTCAAATTCTTTCATTTGTGTGGTGGAGTGTGAATAAGCAAGTACCTGTGGATGCAGCCATTCTGGTGCAGGTAGTTTAAGCCTTGCACTGCTCCAAAGAGAATGGTCCTTATTAAGGGTTCACTCATCCCATCAGGAAAATAGGTCCTCAGGAGCTGGCTCGCTGAGCCTGAAAGAAAGCCCTGACACATTCAGATGAGCACTTGAAATGTTTTAAATATTCTTTTCAAACATAAGGAGACAAACACATGTACCTGTTGAGTCTAGCCATTTTCCCATGCAAACATCATTTTCCTTTATGAGTCATCATCACCATCACCAACACAACACGGTACTGGGGCTTACATCAAGGACCTTACACATGCTAGGTAAGCATACTACTACTGTACTATATATATCCCCAGCCCTCTGTCCATTTTTTACTTTAAGGCAGGCTCTCAATTAAATTGCTGAGGTTGGCCTTGAACTTATGCTGCAGCTCAAGCAGGCCTTGCCTTGTGATCCTCCCATGTCAGCACCCCAGCAGTTTATAGTTCTGTGCCACCAGACCAGACCTATCTTGAAATCTTTAATCCTAACCTTTTTTTTTTTTTTTTTTTTTTTTTTTTTTTTGAGGAGCTGAGAATATAACTCAGAGGTAGAGCATTTGCCTATCCTGCTCAAGGCTCTGAGTTTCAACCAACCACAGTCTCTCACATACATACCCCACACCCACACCCACAAGCTTTAGTGACTTTTTAAAAGATAAGTGAGTATTTTTAATTATTGCTGAGTAAAAATGTATACTGTATATGTCATATCTTAAATCTAGAAGTAATTCACAAGAGCTATACTACAGACCAAAGCTCTAGAATCCATTCACTTATTGATTCAGCACTCTTATTGAACAACGTGTTCTCTAAGTACCTAGGGTTATCAAAATTGAAAGCATAAATGATTACTTCCTTCAAGAAGCACAAGTAAGAGAGCTGGGCACACAATGGATGTTTACAATATAGTGACATCAGTTCACTCTACAGTGAAGTACAGACAAAGACGGTGTGCTTATGTGGGGAAATTACTTCTGCTTGTAAAACAACAGCTCTTCTCTAGGGAAGACAGGGTATGCCAAGGCATACATAGAACTTTAGAGAATTAGTTGTGGTTTCATGGATCATCATACCCATTCTATTCTAAAACTGAAAAACCATGAAGCAGAAATACGTATGAACTCTAGAATTAGCCACTAAATTTATAAATTAAAAATAGTGAATGACAGATACAAGACACCACTCATTTTTACAATGATAGCATCCAGGTAAATAATTAGTTGTTTTACTTAAAACCATTTCTTACCATAGGCCATGAATGGAGAAATAACCCAAAGCCAGCTGCCAACAGTGAAAACTGTCCAGTAAGTTGTGATATTGGGGTGTTGGAAAAAGTGAGATAGAATCACCGCTCTCTAGGACAAATGTACAAGAGAAAAGACATTTAAAGGTCACCTTTCCTTTCACAATAGCAGTAGTTATGGCTAATATTCAAGGGAGTGCATTATCTTCTGCTTCTAAACTCTATGACTGCTCCAGAAAATGACACTGTGATTTGTGTTTTATAGGGTACTTTTACAATGTTAGAAAACCTGTCCAGAAGCACACCATGAAAGAGGAATGTGAACTTAGTTTGCCTCCAAAGGGGATACATCTAAGACTTCAGTTTTTGTTGTAGAAATGTTTAAAAACACACAGGGGACTGGGGAAGTCAATGCTAATACCACATCATGGAGAATCACTGTAAATATTCTAGCATAGTTTCTCCTGGCCCTCTTCTCTTGTATGAATGTATGTATTTATGTATCTGAACATACAGATGTTTTTACATTCATTCATTTATTAGGGGAAGGCATGCACACGACACAGTACACAGTGGAGGCCAGAGGATACCCTGCAGGAGTCTTCTTTCCATCATGTTGGATACAAGGATCAAACTGAGGTCATGAGGCTTGCAATAAGCACCCTCACTTGCTGAGCCATCTCCTCACCCCAATATAAATATTTTAAAATTGAGATGAGAGCAAAATAAAAACTTTCGTCCTTTGCATAAGAAACTATGAGAAAAATATAATTTTATACACAACATGATCCTATTAAAATTTATCAATTCTGAGGTTAGTTTTGCTTACATGGTAGAAAATAAACTCCTGTGTTTTCCTGTCTCTATCTGTCATTAGACTGGCTGAGAGTATTGTCACTCTCCAGCGTAGCACTGAGATATGTCATTCACCAGAAGGAATTCATAGTATTTATTTATCTGTCAGGTGATGATCTCACTTCCATATATTCTTCCCCATCTTGTAACTGCATGATTTTATTATATCTACTTTCTCTAGCTATCAGCTGGAGACAGAAAATCCCTTACAGATACAACGTCCTCAAACAGACATTACAGTCCTTCCTTCCTAGCATTACCTGTAAAGCTTTCAGACGTTCATCCGTGCAGTTTTCCAGGTTTGTAATTTTTATAGTTACCAGCGTTCCTGTAGGAATATGCCGTGCAAGGTGAACAGAGGTCAGGTTGTCAAACCCTCTTCCTGAAATCAGACATAAAACCCAGGGTAACAAATCAAAGCAAGGAAAAAGGTTGATGCTGTGTACTATAGCAAAATTTAAAACCTCCTGCTCTTCAAATGAAAAGGCTCAAAAATCCTCTGCACCATCGTGACAGCCTGGAACTCAAAACACCTGACTCACCAACATGTCAACCCAGGCCACTTCCAGCTACCCCTCTGGGGTAGGCCCAACTGCTGCTTAGGAAGGTAGGACCCTGTAATGAGATATCCACCCTGCCTGCACCTGTTGCACTAACCACGCCCATTGGGGCATGGGGACGAGTGCAGACGTGACCTGTGGGGGCTAGGTCTGGGGTCCTGGACCCCAGCTCGCTCTCTTACTTCCTGCCCCTTACTTCCAGGGGCATCCTTGCAGTGGGAACCCGCTGCAGTCATCTGTTTCTGGTGTAAGTGATTTCTCCCTGAATAAACATCAATCAGGCTATATTGTATCCCAGAATCTTTTTTCCCATGCAATATACAGCATGGCTGCCGGCAGTTTTCCATGGTAAAGCACAGGTCTGGATCCCCATGGCAAATCACCTACTGGTATTGCGATCCTTACTTCAATGCATTGTGCCCCCCAAGTGTATCTTGATCATATTTACTCCCCCAACTCCTCCTATGTCCACCCTTAAAAAGACATTAAACACTCTTTTCTTTCTTCACCCTTACCTTCCTGTCCATTCAACTTGAGTTCCCTCCTTGACTTTCTAGTCTTCCATCTTAAGGAAACCTCTTTGGAATAACTAAAAGAGTTATGTAACTTATTGAACAGGTTTTGTACAAAGGGTCATAAGCCATTCATTCTCAGGCTTGGAGCTGCTCAGACTCAATGTCCTAAAGAAGGTTATATAGCAGTCAATGGGAAGGCATCTATGAGCTTTGACGAGATACTTCCAGCCCCAACACAGACATACGCAGCACAGATCAGTATATCCAGATGCCTGACAGACTGGATGAAGGTCTGTGTGTCAGATAGCAAGCACTTACTATATTGACTATAGTCACTTGCTCTGTGTTCACTTTTATTTATCAACACACTTTCTTTTGTCATTATCAGGAAGCAGTATATGTTTATTTATGCTATATGTAAAAATATATATGCAAATAATATATTTATTTTTAAATGAATATATGAAATATGTTAGATATAATATGTATTTTTTATAAAAGACAAAAATATATAAAAAATAAAATGATAAGACATTGACTAAAAATATTAACAATGTCTATATTTGATATAATTTTTATTCAAAAATATAAAGAACTCTTATAATTCTATAAGACAGTAAATAATTCAATACAAAATAATAAGACATATGAAAAGATGCTTAAGCTAGAGAAAGGTACATTAAAGCCATACCATGCCATTGCATATCTAGATTAATTGCTAAAATTATGACTTGATGAACAAATTGTCATAAAGGCAAATAATGGAATGATATTCAGCAATGTTCAGCCTCTGCTTACAGGCCCTGGCAACTACTAATGTGCCTGTTGCTTATCGTAGAGAGGAGCGGGCACTAGAGAAGACGGAGCATCCCATGCTTAGCTTCTTTCACTTAATACAATACTTCTGAGGCTTACCATGTTCCACGTATTTCATTTCTCCTGTTGCATTCTTACTACCTCACAGGTATTTTACGCATTCTTGGGTAGGGGGTATTTGAGTTAATTTGTTTCTGGTGACTGTAAATAAAGGTTCCCCAACTATTCCTTTAGAAGTCCTTAAGAAGACAAACACCACATGAAATTGCCAGGTCATGTGGTAAATACAGGTTTGAACTTAGGAGTGGCCAAACTGTTTTCTAATGAAGCTGTACTATTTTTACAACCTTAACAAACAATGCATCAGAGCTGTACTGCTTGGCTCATCCACTTCTCAAAGCCTCTAAGGTATCAGTCCATAAACTGATGAATCCCTGTTCACAGGGAACCAAGCCTTCTTAAACAGAACTTTCTCAGCAGGGCCCAGTGTCTGTGGCAGGGATACCCATGCATGTGCAATGCACTGCCAAGGCTGCTTCTGGCCCAAGGCTTTGATTCTGGTTACTCAGCTTCTTTTGGTTCCTCCTGAGTATTGTTCAGAACTTCCTAACACAACAAGGACTGTATTTAAAAAAAAAAAAAAAAAAAAAAAAGAGGGGGGTGTGCCACTTAAGAAGCCAGCCCCTTTCTGCCATTATTCTTTTCTTCCAGAGGTGTTTATATGATGCTCTATCTTCCCTAAATTCGTTCACTGCTTCCCATCCACTATATTGGGGAAATAATCGTTATTCTAAAAGGCATAAATAATTAAAAAACCAGCATTCAAAGCTTGGGGTAGATATCTTCCTTTAACAGATGGGTTCCTTTAATATAGCTGTACTCCAATGCCCACTAGCACCTGAAAAAGCACCATTCTACCTGTTCACTTCACAGAGTGGACGGACTTCAAGTCACAGAGCTTTTTCATACCCTCAACCCTGCCTAGTCACTGGGTTTTATTGATTAATTGATGCTCCTGAATGTTCAGAGCAAATGTCTCAAAAATATAAAGCTATAAACAGGAACCAATTTTATTCTGTACTTAAGAATGATCTATACAACTGAAAATTTGAACAAAAACATAAATTATATAAAATTATAAAAATGATACAAATAAGTACTTAGATTATCTAATGTCCTCTCTTTTCTAAAAAAAAAAAAAAAAAAAAAGTCATCTTTTTTCCCCCCAGTGGAAAAGTAAAAAGTAAAACTAGACAGAAGTCTTAAAATATGAGATTAGACAGACATAAAATGCATTAGATTCATTTAACAGAACCAGTTTCATGCTGTAAGTGGCAACAAAGAAAGCCATGGCTATAAAGTAATCTTTGTGCCATCAACTTCATTTCTAGAAGGTAAGAGGCAATGATATGAATTCCATGATCGTTACCTATTTCCACTTGCAGTTCATAGTGAGAAACATTAGTGGAACATATCACTTCATTGGATCTAGCAGATGGAGGTGACCAGGAGGAAACTGCTGGCTCATCAACCTGCATTTTTTTTCCACATGAAAATAAAATAGGATAAACATCATTAGTCCCCCAATTTGGTCTCCCTATCCCAACAAAAAATATTGATAATCATCTGGAAGATACTGGGAGGCAGCTGAAGAGGTTGTTTTAAGATCTAGAAGGAATCTACCATTTACTAACTGATGTCAAAGAGATTTCATCTTGAAGAGTGAAAGGCAGGAAAAGCAGATTTACAGAGAGCAAGAAATACTTTGCATCTCAATTTGCAGTAAAACTTCTAGATGGGTCTAAGAATGGATGATAATTGTAAAGTGCTCAGGAGAGGAACTGCAAGGACCTGTGAGGGACATTCCAGGCTTGTGTTCTTGCTTTCAGCCTGAGGTTTATGCTCTGTGTTAACAGTCAAGAACAACTTCCACACCACAGTCTACTAAAATAACTAAAGAAGTCTTTCATATGAAATGAAGAGGAAGGTCAGAAAAATAAGCTCAAAGAGATGGGAGCTCAGGGCACAGGCTTCCTGACTGTGTGGCAATGAGGTCTGGTCTCAGGGGTGATTTGGAGCCAGAGTCAAGTTTGGATCTAAATATAGGGTCAGTGAAATATCACACACAAAGCAGAAAGAGGAGGCCTAACCAGCTGGCATAAATGATAGCAATGGATCTCCTAAAGAACACCAGGATTCCAAAGGACACTTAGAAGCCTTTATAGGAACTAGCAGGTGGCAAGAATCTTGTTACTGCCTCCAATGAGGTGATAAGGGGAAACAACATTACTATGTGTTAGGAATCGTGCTAACTCCTTTTCATACCCAACTCTTTAAACGGGAGAAATAGAGTGTGAAGTTAATAAATGGAGTTACATAGACAGTGACAGGAATATTTCCTAAACTTGAGAGCAGACTATTAACACTTTATTTATGGATGATATCCAAGAAGAATCAAAGAGTGGGAGAAGAATTCTAGCATACAAGTGAAAATAAGCCCAGTGTGGGGATGGGGTGATGCCAGGAGTCAATTCGGTTTCTTTAGAACAGGAACCACTCAGATAAGAGGTGTAAAGAGAACACACAAGAGAAGAACGTATAACAATGTCTTAAACGTAAAATGTCATCAATCTGTAAGTCTGTTAGGAAGCACCAAGGTTTATTTTCATAATTTAAAAAAATGAAAGGACTGAACCAGGTCCCCTGAACGTGGGTGACTGTTAGGAGGCCTGGGTAGTAGTCTATGGGGCTTCTGGCAGTAGAACCAGTGACAGACTTTGATGATTCCCCATGGAATGCCTCACTCTCCCTGGGTGGGGTGGGGAGTGGGGGGGAAAGGAGGATGGGAGGGAGAGGGAACTGGGATTAAAATTTTTTAAAAATGGCATAGGGCAGAGAGATGGCTCAGCGGTTAAAAGCACTGGCTGCTCTTCCAGAGAACCCAAGTTTGATACCCAATACACACACACACAAACACACACACACACACACACACACACACACACACACACACACACCTATTTGTAACTCAAGTTTCAGGGGCTTCACTGCTCTCTTCTAGCCTCTACAGGCACTTTATGCATGGTATACACAGACATGCATGCAGGCTAAACAACCATAGACATAAAATAATTCTTTAAAAGAAAGAAAAATGGCATCATGTTACTGTAGTGAGATATCCATCCTGCCTACACCTTTGCACTAACCACACCCACTGGGGCGTAGGGACAGGTGCAGACCTGTGGGGACTAGGTCTTGGGTCCTGGACCCCAGCTCGCTCTCTTACTTCCTGGTCAGAGACAGAGAGTATCTGGAGGCATCCTTGGGAAGAGTACCTGTGTCGGTCATCTGTCTCTGGTGTTAAATGATTTCTCCCTGAATAAACATCAGCCTATCGTTTCCCAGATTCTTATTTACCATGTTATATGTACTGTGTGGTGGGCCGAAATTAGCTAACAGCCTGCATCTAATTCCCTCCACTAATTGCATGAGAGAAATGCTCTTCTTAAAGCAAGAGTATGTGCAGATGTTACAAGCAAATAGTCAAAAGCTGAGGGTTTTTGAGACAGGGTCTAGCTCTGTAGCCCAAACTGACCTTGAACTTACACTCCTCTTGCCTTACTCCCTGTATTGCTATTGCTATGAGTACATACTGAACTACTGAACTACTAAGCCCTCACCCAAGAACAACTGTAGATGTGGATCTCTGAGTTTGAGACCAGCCTCATCTACAGAGTGAGTTCCAAAACAGCCAGGGCTACACAGAGAAACCCTGTCTTGAAAAACCAAACCAAACAAACAAGCAAAATAAATAAAAAAGAAGAAAAATCTGTTAGACATCTCTAAAAATACTTAACAGAAAATGTGAGAGCCAAAGTTACATGTTAGCTTTTAATTACTATGCCTAAGAAATCCATGAAACAAAAATGTCTCTGATCTGCAAGCCCCTTACCCAAGGACAGATAGTTCCTGAAATGCTGGAGGCTGTTGTTTATGGGAGATAACAAGTCACATGTTTTCTTTCACTCCCCTAAACAAGTTTGTTTGACCCATCTGCACAGATGTGCTTGGTCACAGTGGGTGAGGTTCACAGGCAGGAAATGTCAAGATTTATGCTTGCCCCAATTGGATGTAGATTGGAGGTAAGTCAGGATACATACTTGCCCAACTGGACCTTATAGAAAATAGTTAAGCTGGGGTAAACCTTGATTTGGGGCCATTTCCTGTGAACCTGGGTATGGACCTGGCCAGGGCCCACCAGTATTTAACTAAAGCTTGCTTCAAATTTGGCTTTAAACTGTGGTGATCAGTGGGATTAACAAAGACTGTTCACTGGTTTGATTTTTAAACCATGTAGTGAGGTCTGTTCTTTATCTCAGAGTCAGAAAATGGATTTAGTCAGCAAATCCAGGGAAATCTCACTAGCCATGCTATTTAGGTGAATGTATCTTTAGCATCATCACTCTTAAGTAAAGTGTCATGGAAAACAAGGTCATAAGTAGAGGTTTTATAATTTATAATGGGAGATAAATATCAGATGTCAAAGTAATTAGAATTGTATCTTTTTAATCTAACATTTTATCCAGTCTGACAAAATGATACAGGTCACCAAACAGAAGACAGCTGATAGTGTTCTGGAACAGTGACTGGGGAGGGCCCAGAAAGCCTTTTCCAATCACTGGGCACTTGTTTTCAGCAGGGCTCAATTCACATTACAGAACTTCTCCAGTTTGCTTCCCACATGAGACTTCAAATTACACCTCAGCTTGTCTTACTTACGATTTCTGTCCAACTTAAAATATAAAAGGGCTCTGACCCAGAGGGTAGAAGGATACCAGCATGGAAATTTCCAGTTATAGATCTCAGTAACAGTGTAGAAACCAGTCATGTGACTAAGTTACCTCAGTGTGAATGGTTAGTAAGGGTGCCACCTTCTACTACACTCAAAAGTAGGTATCTTGAAGATAGAATAGTGAATAAAAATGGCAATGGTTAAAGTCAGCCCTGAGAAAAATTATAAGCAAAAATAACTGCAATTATTTCATGTTGAAACAAATTTTTCAAAGCACCGTATAGTAAAAATTGTTGTATAAATATAGGATTAAGCAGAGTAAAGATTTCAGAGACACATTACCAAGTATGTCTCTTTAAATATTATTACTATGTCAGATACTACTTAGGGAGAGACAAAGATGAATAAGACAAGGAAGCTCCTTACATAGGGATCACATTAAGGTCGAAGAGACACAGACCTCAATCACTGTAAGACGATACGGTAACGACTATTCTATGAAAGTGCTGCACACAGGTGACAGCACAATCAAATAAAAAGGATCTTCAGGAGAAGAGTTTACAGATGTGACATCTGAACCAACTCTTTATGCATGAGGAGAAATTTCAGGGGAAGGCAGAAGGAAGGGCATTTCAAGCAGAGAGAAGAGAATATCCCCAGTAAGAAAGAAGACTCAAAAACTGGTCATATTCCATAGCATACCATTGAGAGTCTCTATAACATGCTAAGAAATCTGGGCTTTATCCCACTGGCTTAAAAGTGACATAAGCAGATGTCTTGGAACAGTACTGGAGGCTAGTGTGAGCATGGTGGGAGAGGTTGATGTGTGTACAGATACAGGCAATGATCTACACCCACAGGCCAGGCAGGAGATGAGACTGAGTAGCAGTGCTCCTGCTCCTGAGGGGAGTGGCATAGGCAGTGTGAGAAGAACTCTAGAGTTTCCAGTATGCATCACTAATAGTTAGGCTTTCATGAAACAAAGTGAGAAGCACAGGGCTGGCAAGATTTGGAAGCAGATTAAAGTTTCACTCAAATCAGTAGAAACCATGGGGAAAAAATCCCAGGGCCCAGGAAAGAGAAAATCTGGTAATCACAATGGTCCTCTTAGTGTTAGAACACTGAGGCAGCTCTAGGACCTCTGGAAACCTCAGCAACAGAAACCCCAGGAACAGATGTCACTGCTCAGAGCGAGCGGGTCAAGAGGAGATCAGTTGCAGACTCTTGGGGACCAGCAGGAAGAGGAAAGAGTGAAAACTAGAGGGAGAGCATTGCAGAAGGCACAGGAGCAGCGTTAGCTTTGTCAACTGTCTTCTTACCAGGTATTGATGGACACTGGTTTCAGACTGTTTTTCAGGTCTGAGTGATTCAACTCGTGTTCGTGAAGCACAGAAACAATCCTGGAAGTAAGAGACATGTTAGGTAAGTGGGAAGCACGGCACATAAATGGCATTGGCTTGCATATATAAAAAAACCTGCTATCAGGGCTGGAAGCCCAGATGGAGGTACTCATGGGTGGGGCAGAGAGAAGCCCGGTGCACAGGAGACTGGCATCACTCTGTTACGCTGTGCTTAGTGCCATCTCCACCCCTTGCCTTCATTTGAGATTATGAATCTACTTTAGTTGTTGGTCTTGCCTTCTCAGTCTTTTAGCAACTAAGAAATGTGCCAAATTCCTGAATATCTGACTAAAAATTATCATTTGAACATTTAGCTAAAAATCATTCTGCTGTGGCCAATATTTTTAATTTTTCCTTAGACTGTTTCCCTGAATATAGAAACCATGTTTTCTTACATTAAAACATGTATTTAATTACAAACACATTGAATATTTGTAACCAATTCTGTTTCTTAAAGTGACAAACATGTTCAACTCAAAGCAAATTAAGAAACTTGCTTCTATTACCAAAATTTACATTTTTTTCTGAATATCACCTCATGGTTCTACTATCAGGTATTACCTATAATGAAATGTAATATCTACCTGTTGTCTATCCTATCAGCAATTTGTAGAGCAATACTAATCTATTTAGGAAGAAAAAGGTCAAAAGTATAAGCACATTATATGAATTTTTTTTATAATAAATGATTTTTAGCACATTATCAACACACATCTATGAGCACTCAAATGCAGTGTCAAGTGAGCCTCAAAGTTCACCCACGGCTACTAACAGTGGATTGTCAGTTCTTTAAAAGTAACCAAATTCCTTTCTTTTAGAATATACCAAAATTTCTCAGTAATCAAAGTGGTGTTTTTCAGCTAGGCCAATCTACTAATTACATTGACTTTAGCACTATGAATCTCAGAATCTTCACTCGGATGAAGGGACTAATGTAAAGGGCATCACACATCTTTTCTTGTCAATGTAGAACTGTACATTTTAAAATTCCTTTAGGACAGGGGTCACCAAATGGTGACCCAGTGTGTGTTCAGGGCTTTAGTTTTTTTCTCTTCCATGTTGCTGATGTATGGTTTTGAGCTGCCGGCAGGAGAGCAGTAGCAGTAGCCTTTACAGAAAAGTATCTGCTGCCCCTGCTTTAAAGAATGAAGCACTTCAATGTATTTTCCAGATACACTCATTTAAAGCAACTATAGTCTCCTAACTTTACAGTCCTGTCTTCCAGCCTGGCTAGTAAAGTAGGATGACAGGCATGAACAACCTGTCAAATGAGGATGCTTCTCCCTGTCCTGCGAAGCTCCCACAATTTTAAAGAGCAAGTTCACTGTCTTAACAGCAAAACACTTTTTTCAAATACCATATTATAGTGACGTGACAGAAAGTCCTTAATCTAAATCAGATGTCATGTATCTAATATACAAACAAATATATTTCATCTGTAGCAAACATGATGCAATGATTCTTTTTTTTTTTTTTTTTTTTTTTTGGTCTGATTAAGTGAAAGGTTTATTTTAAATGGATCTTACCTGCCTTGGGACACATGGAAATTTAAAATTTACCAAAGGGAGTTTTAAAAGAAAATGCATCGCTTACTAGATAACATTGGAATCTAAGAAAAATATATGAGAAAAAGAATCAGTTTGGGACAAAGAATAGAGGGTATGTTTAAAAAGAAAATGTAGGAGAAAATCTCTTTGAAAAAGACAAAACTCATTGAGAGTTTATATCATCCTCAAGAACACACACATTGTTCAAGTCAAAACATCCCAGAGCTTAAGCCTGAATGTCTTCTGTTCCAGATCTAACTACTACGATGGTGGTATAAAATTATGACAAAACTTACCAAAAGAGACATTGAATCGCTTTAGTTCACAGAAAGTGATAAAATTCTATATTTCAAAGAAGATTTTTGCTTTATCTTCAAGGTGCAGATATATCCCACTATAAAAACAAAAGCACAGTTATTTGGATTTACATAAACTCCTTGAAGAACTAGTTGCCCTAACATAGATATTTAGGCAGCTACTGATTGACACAAGGACTAGTGACATCCTGAGGCATCTTTAATAAGCATTGCTCTGACATGGCTCCCAAAAGGCAGAAAGCTAAAGCAAGTTTCTTACTATCTCCAAAGTCTTAAGATACTGCAGCTCTCCTGTCTTTTTCTGCCCTGAACAAATAAGAAGGCAACAAAGAGAAGCAGTTCCGGACCCTTTTTCTATAAGTTGTGCCATTTACAAATAAATCCTAGGAATCTAACAATACCATTCACAAGTAAACTGAGGTCTTCAAAGACTGCTGACTAACCATCTACTAACTCATTTGGTACCCAGGACTCACAAATCTGAAGCAGGATTCATAATGGGCTAAAATGAGTAAGTGTCACGTGTTTAAAAAAGGGATTTCTTAGTTTTCATATAAAAATGATGTTTTCATAGGTCAAATCTTTTTCACCTTGATTTTTACTTCACAAGTCTATTCAACTTAGAAAGTCTTGACAGATCACAAAGTTATGCATATTATGCAAACAAGTCCTGTCCATTTCCATTAATTTTAGCATGGTAACTTCTTCAGATTCAAGGAGCTACAAAACCATGAGCAAGATCTTCTGGGTCTTCTCCAACAGCGAGGGCAATATTTGTAGTGGTGGTTATTCCCTTCTAAACATCATCTCTTGAAACTGTGTTTCATTACCTCATTTTAGTGAAATCCTATTATTTGATCAAGGCATCTACAAACAGCTAAGCAAAATGAGAAAAGGAAGGTTTTTAGACCATAAGTGTTATAAAGTATTATTCTATTTTATTGCTGAGTAAAGAAGTGGATTTCCTCAGGGCACCCACTATAAGTCAAAGGTAGAGAAAGGGGAAGAAGGCCAGAAAATTTAAGATTATTTTGTTACCAGCCAAGCACTACTGTCAATTTAAGACAGTGTGTGTGTGTTGGGGGGTGGGGGGGATGAAGAAAGCTATTACTGTGCAGCCTTCCCTCCAGAATGACTGAGATTAAATGAATGTATACTACATTTTATACACTCTATATATGTAAAAGACAAGTATAGGCCAGGTGGTACCCATCACTGAGGTGGCAGTGGCAGGAAGATCTCTGAATTCAGACAGTCTGATCTACAGAGCTAGTTCAGGACAGCCAAGGCTACATAGAAGAAATCCTGTCTCTAAAACAAACAAACAAAAAATCCAAAAAGACAAACAGTATCAGCAAGTTGTTACTGAGTTTGCTGCTTTAAACAACAAAACACTTTGGGAAAATAATGCAGATCAAAATATTCTAGAACTGTTACTACCAAAAGGATTGCTTTTGTGGGGTGGTTTAATCTCTTAAGCTTTCACTTTGGATACATTATACTATTAACAGTTAATTTTTCAAGACATTTTGAGATCAGGGCAGTGTTTGTACCTGACGAAGGAATGGAGTAAAAGATTTGCTGTTAGTTTTCACTATTACACCATGATTTTAAAAACAAACAAACAAACAAACAAACTTGCTGAGGCTTTATAGATCATGCCTTTAATTCCAGCATTCTAGAAACACAGACAGAAGCAGGTGGATCTTTGTGAGATCTAGGCCAGCCAGAGCTACCTACATAGTGAGACCCTGTCTTTAAAATATATGTGTATTTATGTACATGTACACACACACACACACACACACACACACGAATATATATGAAGCCTGTATTCCTAAATGCATATATGAGTACCTCAGCGCAGCCCTTTGCAGTTGTACCTAAAAAGCTACTACAATTAAGCTTTATAAATAATCTAATTTGCTCCATACATAGACAGGCATAACCACAATCTTTCATTTAAAAGGTTAACATTTTACATGGATGCCAAAGGCCCTATGTACTTCCAGGACTTGGGTTTTGAGTTGATCTAGGCATTCAATGTTCAACTCTTTCAGGAAATGCTAACAAAACAAAACAACCTACCAATTCTCTTTGTTAGGCTTCACGATTATTGCAATTCTCAAGGTGATCTTGAGACCTCATAAAACCTTAACAAAGATCACAGCGATGCACATAGCTCAGTAGAATTTTCCAAACTTAGTAACATGACTCACGGTTTCAACAAATATTTACGGAGTGCCAAACACTGTGTTATGTAGGTACTGTCTGTCACAAATCGTGATCAGGTTCGTTGGAAAGATATTTGACACAACAAACCCGCGAGGGGAAAACGCAACACCAAATGTAAATACTGAAGACAAACGACGCCTGGGCACTTAATCTTGGAAAAGGTCCCTTTGAAGTCTCCTAGCAGACAAGGCTGGGCCAGGGGGTGTCTGCGGCTTGGGAAGTCGCCGGACCCGTGTGTACCACCAAAGGTGAGAGCCAGGGGTTGGGAGCGCCGCGGCTGGGCAGTCGGGCACCTCGGCCCCGGTGCGCTGGCACGCGCGGCGCTGGCTCCCGCAGACTCAGGCCACTGCTCGGCCGGTGGCGCCAGCTCGGGTGAGGAGCGGCGGCGAGACTGGCCTCGCAGGCTTCCGCTGTGCACCTACCGAGCTGTGCTCCCTGCCCACCCCCCTCTCCCCCCACTGTCCGGGTCCCCGCACGGTCCCCTGCCCGCCTGCCTCCCCTCATTACCCCGGCTGAGACCAAGGCCAGCAACTCCAGGCGGCGGGCGCTGAGGGGGTGCGGCGCGTGCGAGCCCCGGGACCTGCCTCGAGGAGGGGCGAGGCAACTACACCAGGCCCGCTTCCAGCGCGGGCCTCAGGTTGCTGAAGTGCAGCACGGCCGCGGCAAGCCCCGTTGGCCTGGACCTCTGCCCCTACCCGGGGCAACGGGCCGGGCCGGGATTCGCCCCACCCCGGCGGGGTCGGGGCCCGCCGCTCCGCCCCGCCGCGCCTCCAGCTTCCACCTCAGTGGGGAGGTGGGGCCTTCGTGCTGTAGGCGGAGCTGAAAGGAAACTACAGTTCCCAGTGGGCCGTGCGCTAGGGTCGCGAAGGCTGCTGGGAAAGTGGGTCTCTTAGCTTTCCTAGCTGGGTGGGGGCTGCCATTGACCAAGCGTCACTGCAGATCCAAGGTCGCCAAGTGATGATGTGAAGTCGCCCGCCAGTCCCTGCCACGCCCGGGCGGTTAGCTGCAGCGGCGGCAGCTGCGGCTGCTGCTCTCAGGCTACCGCAGCTTTAGGGGCTTCTTGAGCAAGCGCGGGCGGAGGAGCGAGTACGCCGGGCCATTCCCGTGAGTAATCTCCCGCGCGCGACTCCAACTTGCCCTTGTCAACTTCTCCCGAAGGCAGAGGGAGCCTTCCTGTCCCCGGAGGTCACTCCCTGGAGTACCCCTCCCCGAGATGGGTAAGGGATGTTTCCCAAGTGTAGGTGCAAAACTGTGGGAGCTGGGCTCTAGCCTCCGGATTCACCCCATCAGCACCTCTGAAGATTGGCAGCTTCCCATCCTCTGCCAGACAGCACCCATCTGGAGCTCGGTCGTTTTAGGATGAGTGGCTTTAGTGTCTGGACGTTAAACCTTAAGCTCTCGGTGGCCATCTGTGATGTTAAGGGGAGGAAAGGAACTAGAAAGAGCTTTCTCTGTTGGGCTTTTCTTTGCAATTGATTTGGAGTCAGACGCCACATGTCTTTAAAAAAAAAAAAAAAAAAAAAAAGGACGGGGGCAGACTTTAGGTTGAAGCGATAAGAATGGCAGGTGTCCTTTTTAGTGTTTGCACTTTTGAATCCCAAACACTTTAAAAACAAATTACAATTATGGTAGTGAAGTCAGTTACCTGCTTATGCACATTTTTCTGCATCAAGAAAGATAGTAATTTTTCACTGGAAATTCACCTATCGACCACGGAACAAAACTGGACTCAAAACATGAACTGGACTCAAGAGTTCTTGCTCTACCGTAGTAGTAGTAAAAAAATTTCATGTCCTTCAAATCTTCAAATCTTTGCTGTTCTGCTAAAAGCCTGAGCTACAGTGATCTACAAATGGCACATTAATGGTGGTGACATGACACTTGAAAACAAATTGTGAAGGACACTTGGTGATGGAAAGGGCAAAATTAAAAACATTTTATCAACTCACCAACGATCTAGCTTTCTATTTTTAAAATTAAGTAGTATCCAACAAGTCTCAGGCATTTAACCCTCACATACATAGATGGCTATGTGAGAGACAGTGTTTTTAATCTTACACATTTTTATCTATGGGATGGAAGAAGGAAAGAACCAACAACTGAATGCTTGAAATCTGCTGGACACCCCAGTTCAGGGTTCACTTAACCACTTTAACAAGCCAGTTGCTCATAATGTGAAGCTCAAAAGACATTATGTAATAAGTGGGAATTTTAAGTCTAGACCTGCTCTGCTCCAAAGTTATGGATCAGGTGTCTTTTACACTAAAGGCTGACATTAAAGAGAATTTTTTTTTGTGTGTTGTTTCCTAATACTAGTTCCATCATACCTTGGATATGGATAAGTCCATAACCTCTACTTTAGTACTCTGAACAAATTGTATACTCTGTCTGCTAGTTTCCTCCCTCATAGAACTGCTCATTAAGACACTAAGAGCTCATTCCAAATTCACCTGGATGTACTTATGTTTAAAAAAAAAAAAAAAAAGATAGGATTGGCTATGGCTATGTACCACAAAGGTTTTTTCTAATGCACGAGTCTTAGGGTTCTATGATTATTATTCTCCATTCTCCATTGTGAAGGCTTAACATCCATAATCACAAAGCAGTCTTATTGTTCACTGTGAATGCTTAATGTCCAGCGTCAGAGAGACTAGGAAAACTTGCCCGTCTAAGGGGTGTGAGGTAGCAGCATCGCAGTGGATGCACATTGCCATCTCATCTGCTTCACATCTCACATCATCCCTCTGCTTCCCTTCTTTGTTTCCAGTTTGTCATCATTGGTGTTTTTGTTTTGTTTTTGTGATGCTGTTTCACTATGTAGCCCTGGCTGTCCTGGAACTCACAGGGATCTCATTAAGTGCTGAGATTAAAGATGTCTGCTACCACACAACTAACTTATAAAATTACATCTATTTATTTATTTGTTGCTGTGCACATGTGCCTGGGATCATTCATGCATGAATGCATATGGGGGTCAGAAGACAACTTGTGGGATTCAATTTTGTCCTTCTACCATGTGGGCCCTGCATCAAACTCAGATTGTCAATGTTGGGGACATGCACCTTTATCTCTCCGACACCTTCTGGCCCTGTGTCAATTTTTGAACCTCATTAAATTATTATATTTAGTTGGAAGGAAACCTGAGACATTGAAGTGATAGTTACATAGAGCATCCAGTCATATCTATTCAGGCCAGCAGTGTTCTTGTAATAGCAATAATAGGAAACATAGAAGTAATACAGTGTGCTGCACACCCAACTGAGTCTTTTACCTAGTTATCATTACCACAATAGCACCATCAGGGTTTTTATTTTTAACACATAGATTACTAGAGCAGAAGAATAGTAAACATACCTGAATCATTTAATTACTGAATGGTAGAAATGGCTGTCAAACCGGCCATGATCAAACTTTACTTCAACATCTAAGCACTTAACTTTGTAACCAAGCAGCCGGGTGTTGGTGGCTCACACCTTTAATCCCAGCACTCGAGTTCGAGGCCAGCATGGTCTACAGAGCATGTTCCAGGACAGGCTCCAAAACAGTAGAGGAACTCTGTCTCAAAAAATCTTACACACACACACACACACACACACACACACACACACACACACACACAAAATCCAAAACTTCTTAACAAAGCATGGCTGAGTCGTTTTATTGTAATTCAATTTTTCATTATTACAACTACTTTATTTAAAATGGAAATTCAAAATTTAAGTGATTTTTGCTATCTTCATAGGGAAACAATGGAGTCAGGATTTAAACCTATAGATAACTTTTACTTCAAGGTCTAACTAAGTTCTTTCCTCTACTTCTCATCAAGTTTTTATTAAATGTTTTCTGTAAGTCATTATCCTAGATGATAAGGACATAATCTTCACTGTTGAGGAGGATGTATCCTGGAGAAGATAAGGAAGAGTTGTGTTAGTATATGAGCGATATGACAGCAGTGTACAGAGACTGGGAACAGAGAGAGGGCAGCAAGGGAAGGCATAGGATAGTCTTGGAAAAACAGGTGGGAGTTAGTTTGAGCAGAAAAAAGGGGTTGGAACTATAATGAGCTCTTATGTCCTTCAGAATTTTTATGTGATAGCCTTACCTAATCCTCATTGCCCCAGAATGTATCTATGTTTGCATAGGGCTTCTGAGGTAATTAAGTTGAAATGAGACCATAAAAGAAACTCTAATGCAATCTGACAGGTACACTTACAAGAAAAGAAAAGGGAAAAAAAAAAAAAAAGGTAACACTTGCGTAGCATGTAAAATTACCAAGAAGGTCAAGAAGAGAGGCCTCAGGAGAAGCCAAACCCTCCGATACCTTCAGTTTGGACTTCCAGCTCCCCAGACTTAAGAGAAGATAAATTGTGATTTAACCTGCTCTGTCTGTGCTTGCAACCTCAGCAAATAAACAAACAGGTGTTGGAGACAAAGGGCATGGTGTACCACAAAAAAAAAAAAAAAAAAAAAAAAAAAACCTTTGAGATGTGACTGGCTGATTCGGGTTTCTGGTGAGCTTTGAGGACGAAGCGGGAGTCTGGCCATGGAGGATTAGGATGACTTAGTATGAGACCCAAAGAGGTTTAAACTGAAGGGATAAAATGGAGGGTTTTGTAGCTGTGGAAAAACATTACATTTGCTGTTTCCTCCTGCTGGCAAATGGGAGCGAAGCTGAGGCAGGGAGACCAGTTCAGGTGGCTGTCTACCACAGGAAATATAAATCCTCAAAATATAAGGCACCTATTAAAGTCCCAGCTGGACTCTGGGAGCTGGCTCAGTGGGTAAAGGCACTGTCACCTGTGTTGATTCCTGGGACCCATATGATGGGAAGGAGAGAAGTGACTCCCATTGTCCTCTGATATCCACATGTGCACCATGGCATAGACAAGCATATACATACGTCAGACAAATAAGTGTAGCAAAAATGTGTCTTAAAAAGTGATTTAGGAAGAATTCGCATATGCCCATTTTTACTTAAACTTTGGCTGTATGTTTGATTTTTTTTTTGTTTTTTACTTTGCCTTCGTAGTGAAGCTTTACATAACTATAACCAAATATCCAGCAGTTTGCTACCCTAAGAAGTGATTTTTTTTTTTGTTTAGTTATCTAGTGAGCCCTTTTATAATATTTATACTCTTGTAATCCCATTCTCTGGCCGCCTATGACATATTTACTGTTAGTCTCCATGTATATATAAATATACAGAAACATAGGTTAAGAGGTTTGTTTAAACATACACAACTAGTGAATAGCTAAGTTAAAATTCAGAATTAAATATTCTGTCTTCATTATCTGTGTTCTTAACTTTACACAGTGCTATTGATCGAGATCTTTAACCATGTGTGCCAAGAAGCAGAGAGGAATTGAAGTGAATATATTTGCTGTAAGGAATGGACAGTTTATCTGAGGAGATGAGGAATAGCTATAAGAAAAGCCTTTCAAATGTTTATGTAAAAACAGGCAAAAAGAGTAACAGGAGGTAATGAAGATTTTGAGTTGAGGCTCCTGGAAAGACTTGATGGGGAAGGCATTTGAGCTGGTTAGAATTTGGATTGAGCTGGTAGAATTGAGAGAGGACATCAGGACTTGAAGAAATGGTGTGACTAGTTACAGGGTTGAGGGTTTCCTGGTGTGTTTAGAGAGCTAGTGAATGCTGTCCTTTGTTTGGACTGAGTACATTGTTGGTGAGGGGAGCAGGAGCCAGCTAGTGAGAGGTGCTGGTTATTTTTGTAATGTGTGTGAGTGTTTGGCTCATGTGCATATCTGTGCAGAGTGTGCATGGCTGGTGCCCTTGGAAGTTTGAAGGAGGCATTGGGTCCTTTGGAACTAGAGTTATGGACGGTTGTGAGCTGCCATGTGGGCACTGAGACTCAACCCTAGACCCTCTGCAAGAACAAAAGGTTCTCAAGAGGACATTTCTCCAGCCCCGTTTTAAGCCTGAGTGAATGAAGCATATGGTGGATGCCATCTTCTTTCATAATAGGAAGAAAATCTATCAAGTCCCAGGTCACCAGTTGTTGTTTTCACCATCTCACAGATTCCTGCTGTCCATTCCCCATCCTAGGCCTTTCTTATAATAATCTGTGTGTAGTGTGGTTAAATTT